GGAAAGCTCAGGAGGAGCTTCGAGGTGGGAAACGTGGTCGGAAAGCTCAGGAGGAGCTTCGAGGTGGGAAACGTGGTCGGAAAGCTCAGGAGGAGCTTAGTGGCTGGGGGATCTCGGAGAGATACTGGGGATGGGGATTCGACTGGGGGGTTTCACCTCTGCGGTGAGGAGGAGTGTTGGAGTGCGGCATAACACCGCTTCGGTGACGGTTCGGGGACTTCGGGAGAAGAGAAGCAGAGGGGAGAAGCATGGGCAAAGGGGAAAAGAACGGGAGAAGCAGGAAAAGAAGTGAACGAAGAGAGAAGGGCAGTTTGGAATTCAGGGATATATAAGACGAGCGTCTCTCGCTATAGCGCCCCCACTCGCTTATGTTACAGCGTACTGGGGGTAAGCTCGTCTCACTAACATACCGGAGATCACACGCTTACCATGATCCCGTAGTCTAATGTATATCAGGTACAATACACTCGCTTATGTTACAGCGTACTGGGGTCTAATGTATATCAGACTTTAACAGACTCTGACATGGATGCGGCCGACTACTCCGATGTTGAGGGTGGCCGAGATGAACCTCTTGCTCATGGTGGTGCACGAACCTCTGCAGTGGGTACGTTGGCTCTGTGTTCACCTTGACTCCGTGCTATCTAATTCTGTTCACAAGGCGTAAAACGTGGATTGAGAGTTGTCATGTCCGACGAAGAAGATGATGTTGATGTCCATCCTCAACGTCGCCGCATGCATGCAGAATTAGGTGAGCAATGTCCCAGCCATGTGTTCTGCCCCCGACACCCGCCTGCTTATCACTGTCATAGTTAACTCTCGTGTTGTGCATGCCGCTGCCACTGCTCGTCCATCTGCCGCTGCCAGTACTCGTCCTGTGGCTGCACAAGTCCCATTGGCATCGTCACAAGACCCCGACGAACCCGACAATGGAGCCAACCTATTAGACGATGACGACCCCGACCTCATCCTGCCGAGGAAGGTTCAGAACTTCGACACCAAGAGTACAAACATCTCCGACTACATACCACCTGTCAAGACGCTCTTCACGTGGGCTACCTCTCATTTCTTGGCCCTTGCCTTGACACGGGGCATCTGGGCGGATGATCTCGCCCTTACCTCGTGGGCAAAAGAGGCGTGGCTGGCTGCTCGTCATGAGTTTGCGTCAAACATTACTTACGATTATGATATATTGGCCATCGTAAGTACGTTCAGGTGTCTTTGGCACTTCTTACTAATATTTCTCATTATCTAGATGCGTCGCCGTATATCTACGACCACAGGTGATGTCAAAACCGCGATTGCGGGCCACGTCGACACCTATTACCACTTTGTCGATTCTGACTTCGACACGAGGATCCATGTCACCAACAAAGCACTTGCCGATCGTCTTGTTGACAGGTTCGGCATGTGTTACGAGGTACGTACTAATGCATTGCCCTGGTCACTATTGTTAATGCTGCATATAGAACATTAACTCGGCAACGACATACTCCGAGCGCGAGGGGCTCTACGAGCATCCCATCCTCCAAAAAGCACTCAACAGTGCATTCTTCACTAATATCCGCGACACGGGGGTCAAGTATCGGAAGATGTTCAGCCCGCTTTCGACCCCCCTGTTGGCTCTTCTGTGGACTGCGGTGAGTGACTCAATTACATTTCCTGGGCTTTGCTGACTGTATCCTCTTAGATACAGTGCCGAATTGATGAGTGGCGTGTCGACGGCAAGTGCCAGACCATCCAATTCGACCGTCATGAGTACGGCAAGCACCTACAGGCCCACATCGCCAACATGGCCAAGTTTGACCGTGTTGCGAAGGACGCCCAATCGGACGTTTTCGACGACATCAAGAACAACCTCCTCAGAGGTGCACGGTTCGTATCTCTTTTGCTTTTCCCATCTCGTCTATTAATATTTGTTCACGTTCAGTGTCCATGCGGGTATTCCTCCCGATTCCGACGAGGACAACGATGGCCCTGCCGCATCCGACCCCCTCGCAGATGCTGAGTTTGCTGCTGCCATTTCACGTCATCGTAGCCGGTCGAGGGCATCGAGTACATTTACGGGGCCCGAGTCTGAAGACGAAGTGTAGTTGATTCTTATATCCAGTAGAATATTTACAATGCCAATGTGATTGTTTCGACCCCCCTCTACTTTAACAACGGTGTGATAATAAGTTGCATTTGTTGCCAATAAGGGGCTATTTGCTTATAAAACTCGAAACAAATTGGCTGATATTGCATGCGTACTAGAGATATTTGCCGAAAATTTGCAGCAAGTGTTGACCTCCCCTTAAAAATCGTAGGTAATTACAGGCCTATGTGGTAATAGATTAACATAGGATTTTACACCCAATCACAGCAATTGTCACGCTCATTTTTTGCTGATGAAGCAAGCGTATCATCGCATGCACTACGACTGGGGCAGCCAAGTCTTCAGAAGATCTTCGGGCGGTCTGCCCAGATGTGCTACTTGTGGAGGAAGCAGGGGAAATACTCGAGAGCCATATTCTTGCTGCACTCGGGTCAACTACCAAGCATCTTATTCTCATTGGCGATCACAAGTACGTGTCATGTTGGACGCAGATCAATCTTAAAGCTAAAGATCGGTTGAATTTCAGACAGCTCCGCCCAAAAGTCAACAACTACTTGCTGACGGTTGAAAAAGGCGCAGGCTTTGATCTTAACCGCTCTCTCTTCGAGCGGCTGGTCCTCAAGGATTACCCTCATCATACGCTTTCGTCCCAGCACCGTATGCGCCCGGAGATATCCTACCTTATCCGCCACCTTACCTATCCCGAGCTTACTGACGCACCGGGCACTCATGGCCGCGCTGATATACGAGGCACTCAGGGAAACATTGTTTTTATCAATCACGACAAGCCTGAAGACGAGGCTCAAGACATTGCTGATCGAAAAGACTTATCCTCTACGTCGTCGAAGCAGAACAGTCATGAAGTTGACATGGTCCTCAAAATCGTCAAGTACTTGGCACAGCAGGGTTACAGCACCGACAAGATGGTTGTATTGACACCATACCTTGGCCAGCTACACAAGCTACGCGAGGTACTGAAGAATGAAGCCGATCCACTTCTGAACGACTTGGATTCGCATGACCTTGTCAAAGCAGGGCTGCTGTACGCTTCCGCTTCAGACGTCACTAAGGCACGTCTTCGTCTCGCTACAATCGGTATGTCTGCTTTGTTAGCCGGGTGCACGCGCTCACGCGTGCATGTACAGACAATTACCAGGGGGAGGAAAGCCCACTCGTAATCGTCAGCCTGACGAGGAGCAACTCCGACAATGACATCGGGTTCATGATGTCGCCTGAACGCTTGAATGTTCTACTCTCTCGCGCCAGAGACGGTCTTTTCATTATTGGAAACGCCAATACCTTCATGCGTTCGCGAAGGGGTGGGGAATTATGGACGAAGTTTCTCGCCCTGCTCAGAAGCCAAGGGTGTATCTACGATGGGTTTCCCATCAAGTGCGAGAGGCACCCCAGCCGACAGCGTGTACTAGCCTCACCATCGGACTTCGAAGTGCATTGTCCTGACGGGGGCTGCGCCGAGCCTTGGTACGTGATCGTAGGCAAGAACCAGTGATATGCAAATCACTTACAGCATTTTTAGCGGTACGATGCTCAATTGCGGTCACCACGTGTGTCCTTCAAAGTGTCATCAGTTGCATGATCACTCGAAGATGGCCTGTGGTCATCTCATGTATGACAAATGTCCCGCTGATCGGCATACCCTTCAGTGGAAGTGCAGTGAGGGCCAGCCAACGAGCTGCCGTCGATGCGACAAGGAAAAGAAGAACTCAGAGACACAGGCAAGGGACGACTATGACAGACAGCAAAAGCTTGATGCAGAACGGCAGAAACACGACAAGGAGCTCGCCGGGATTGAACGTCAGATCAAGGCCGAGCAGGATGCGCAGCGTGAAAGGTTGGCGGCAGAAAAGAGGGAGTGGGCGCAAAAGCAGAAGAAGAAATACCTTGAGGACATGCGTACTACTAAGCAGTAAACACCGGTAGACCCACACTGTATCCCAACCAAGTTCTGTGTCACATCCTCCGGCTGCATCTTCTGCCATTCCGCACACATCTGCTCGAACCAAGACTCAATGATACTTTGATATTCATTCTCAGTACCCGAAGTCGATCATGCTGCATCCGATTATGCCAAATGCCGACGATGATATTCGTCTTCGCCATTGTGACATGAAACCTTACAGGTTGCACTGCGGTCCTTTCGCAATATTTGGCGTCGTACGGCCATAGTAAATCATCCTCGGATATGACTCGATATGACAATGTCTTTGACTCGTTTGGAGTCGTAGCCTGAGCTTTAGCTGCCTTCGGATCCAGATATTCCCGCGAAGGCCTTGCTATTGAACAGAGCGCCAGAGATGATGGATGACGCGGACGAGCCATGTCGATACGAACACTCCGTGACTGTAGCCCAATGCGTCGCAAGAAAGAGGTTCTTGTTTATAAGCATAGGTAGCCCAGAAGTTTGAGAGTCACTTTCGCGCCATCTCCGGCGCGGTGCACTCGTCCGCGTCGAAGTATCTTGTCCTTAGGGTATCAAACGTCAACTGCTAATTTTTTTTTCGTGTGACAGCGACCTAAGCTTACAGACACGCCCAACCAATGTTCAGAAAATGCACATGCTTCTCATTTGAGACTATAAGCGGGTACAGGCTATAGTCAAGCACGAGCGAATACTACTTTACAAGACCCAGAGCTCCCTTCGCGCCATCCCCCTCGCGGCGCGCTCGTCTGCGCCAAAGAGCCTTGTCGTCAGTGCGTTGAACGTTGTAGGTCAGCTAAAGACACGGAGTATAGCCGGAAAACTTGAGCGAGAGGGCGAGCGGTCGATCGGCACACGTGCGGAAGTGCAAGTTGATCGCGTCGCCAGAGTGAGAGCTCAAGTCCTCGTCCAGTCGGCGGCTAGCGCTGAAGATGAATCCCAAACACTGGTCGCGTGCTCCCGAGTTTCTTTTTGCCGGCACTCTTCTTCTTGGTCTTCTTGTTCGACGACTGAGACTGAGTGGAGGACCCCTCGGATGACTGGGTATCCTCTGCGTGACGTTCGGCGCGCTCCTTGTTGCGTCGTCGCTGATTCCTCTGCTGTGTCGCAGTCAGATATTGGGGAGATGCGCCCGCGTCGATTGACTGAGAAGCTGCCAGAAGAGCGTCGGGAGCGTCGCTCTCGGTGGACCGGTTGATGCCCTCTTCAACCTCGAACACGGTGAATGGATTGGCTGCGGCAGTATCAGCCGTCGGCGTGGCTCTCGAGGCCTCCTCGCGTTGACGCTTCCTGAGGTCGGCGCGCTTCTGAGCCTTGGTGCGCGTCACGACAGGCGAGATTGATGCGAAGTCGTGGAGGAACGCCTCCGGGCCCTCCTCGAGCAGTGACTCGCGCGTGAGCTCCGGACCATCTTGAGAGGTCGGCTCCGATTTGGCAGTGTCATAGAGGGGGATCGCCATCCCCGCGTTGTCGGGGAGCGGGCATCGACCACGGACTGAGATCACGAGCGCGAGGAATGTTGGGTCACACATTGCGAGATCAAGGTGGATACGTTGGTCGGCGCGAGCCCCATCGGTAGAGTCCGCTCGAGGGCCGGCAAGCAGTAAAGCGTCGATTGAGAGACGACGAAAGTCATCTGGCTGCGCTGAGGGCTCCTGTAGCCAAGCAAGCGTCAGCTCGCGCCGTTCACTAGCAGGAAAGAAGGGAACAGCGTACCTTGTCATACCGCTCTCGCCAGTATTTCTTCCTGTACATAACGGAGTCGACTCCAGGCTCGGAATCGCCGGCGCCCAAAGAAGCGACGAGATGTTCGCATTCGTTGACTTGAGGTTCGATGGGGAGGAGCGAGCCAATTTCCACCGACGATGAAACAGAAATAATGTTTTCGGGCAGAACGGTCGGTTCGTCGACGCTCGTCTGAAAATCACAAGTCAATAAAACGACCAGTGAGTTATATTAATAATAAAGCGCAATTCACCTTGTCAGAGCCTTCTAGGTTTTCCGCCTTCTTCTGCTTAAACCTTCGCTTTGCATTCCTAGAGGTGCCCCACACCGGCCCGCCCGCCGCCACAAGTTCAGCGCGTTCTGACACTGCCTTCTTTTTCTTCTGTGCGGCCTTCTTCTTGTTCGCCTTCTGCTTCGCTGTGAACTCGTCGTTGATAGCCAGCGGCACTGGCACGAGCACAGCGTCCTCGAATAATTCGTCTGCGTCAGGAGCGGGGGTCGGGGTATTGATAGCGAGAGCAGGATCTTCCTCGTTGTCGACAAGCGGCAGTACCATGAGCAAATTGTGCTCAGTTCCTTTCCCGAGTCGGATGGGAGGGAGATCGATTCTTGCTGTGTACCCGACAAGCTCTTCGTCGTTGACTGGCGGCAATGCCACGGGCGCGGCATATTCGAATACTTCACCCGCGTCGGGAGCGGGGGTCGGGGTATTGATAGCGAGAGCAGGATCTTCCTCATTGTCGACAAGCGGCAGTACTTCGAGCAAATTGTGCTCAGTTCCTTTCCCGAGTCGGATGGGAGGGAGATCGATTCTTGCTGTGTACCCGACGAACTCCTCGTCGTTGATTGGCGGTGATGGCTCGAGCTCGGCGAGTTCAAATATTTCGTTCGCATCGGGGGCCGGGAGCGGCGTGGCGATGGCGTGGTAGAGAGCTTCTTCGTCGTCGACTGGAGGCAGCGGCTCGAGCAAAGCGTGCCCGAGAACTTCGTCAGCGTCGATGGGGGGAAGAGGAATGCTTGCTGCATGTCCGACAAGCTCGTCGTCGTCGATCGGTGGCAGGGCCACGAGCAAAGCGTGCTCGAATTCTTCGTCAGCGTCCGGAGCGGGGAGTGGGGTGTTGGCAGCGAGAGCCAAACCTTCCTCGTTGTTGACAAGCGGCAGTACTGCGAGCAAATTGTGCTCAGTTCCTTTCCCGAGTCGGATGAGAGGGAGTTGGATTCTTGCTGTGTACCCGATGGGCTCCTCGTTGTTGGCTGGTGGCAGGGCCTCGAGTTCTTCGCCCGCATTGGGAGCGGGGACCGGTGCACTGGCTGCGTGTCCAAAATCTTCCTCACCGTTGTTCAACGGCAGTACCGTGAGCAAAGCATGCTCATTTCCTTTCTTTGAGGGGAGGAGAGGGAGAAGGGTGGACGGAACAGATGGGAGCCAAACGCTGGATGTGGGTGATATTTCGAGAACAATGGGACCGTGCATTTCGGGGGGCGAGAGGTTGACAAGAAGGACGTTGTCGAGAAGATGGTGATCGAGGGAGACGTAGACGTGACGAGGCTTGCGTTGATACAAGCGACCCTAGAAAAGTGATGAGCTGACGTCATTCGAGATGGTTCGAGGTGCTTACCTTGAAGTTCCAGAGAATGACAGAAACGAGAACGAATCCGAATAGGCGTGGCCTTGTCGGGAAATAGACGTAGGGGAGAAGCTGCAGAAGCCATGCCATGAAATCTTGAGTGCCTGAACGCGCGAATCGAGCCTTGACAGGAATGTTGGCCAAAACCTGGGGTCTGAAGACGTCGACTGACGTGGGCTGGTCGCCCGCCGCGCACAATTCCGGTGGGGCAAGCTCGAGGACCTCGAGCTCGCAGGTGGGAAGCGGAGTGACGGAAAGTATGGATCCGAGAGCTTGGTCGACCAAAGTGGGATGATCGTCCACCGAGCACACATCTAGCTTGGGGAGTTCGAAGACCTTGAACTCGCAGGTGGGAAGCAGAGTGACGGAAGGCGTGGACACGAGAGCTGTGTCGACCGAAGCAGGCTGGTCGTCCGCCGAGCACACGTTCGTCAAGGTGAGGAGTTCGAGACCTTTGAACTCGCAGACGGGGAGCGGGGCAATGGAAGACGTGTCAAAGGTGGACCAGGAGGCTTGCAGAGACTCTTCGAACGTCTCGTCAGACGACGCCCAGAGGATGACTGATAGTAGATGTTAGCTACGTGTCGTAGAAGAGATGAAAGACGTTACCATTATCGGACGTAAGACCGGGTACGAGGTTGGGGCTTGACTGATCTTCAGACGCGAGGGCACCGTCTTCAGACAGCAACGTATTGTTGAGGACCGAGGGGAAAGGGATGACGACCGCCGACAGTCGAAGTGAGACGACGTCGGCGATGCTCTTGATCCCTCGGGCGATGTGCTGGCCGAAGACGTGAGGGAGCGTGCGGATGCCGAGCTGAGGACCAAGCTCGGCGAGCGCGTTGGAGAGCAGCGGACCACCGGGGAGACCGAGTAGTCCGGAGGACGTCAGCGTACCGGACCCAGCCAGCGCATAGAATGCGTGGAGGGCACGGATGGCTGCGGAGACAAAAATGATATAGTTCATTGTTGGATGTTTGTTGCGATGTGATATGTTTACGATGAGGAGGGAAGGCATTCGGTGTGCCATCCTATATAGGTCTGGAGTTCAACACTTTGGTACTGTTTGGCAAGGCGGGCCGAGGAGGAAGAGGCTGACATTGGTCCATGTTGGAACTTCTGAGTCGAGACCTGCCGCGGAGAGCTTTAGAATCCAGCTGGAATATGTCTAGATTGGGAACTCACCTAATGTTCACGCTCGATCGCTGTGTCGAACAATCCCGATCCGTTCAGATTGCATGCAGATATGCGTCTTAGCCAACTACACTGCCCTCTTTTCAACACGACGTTTCTTCGTCAGAAGGGATGGTAGGCTTGGAAGCGACGCAATCCACACCGATCACTGACGCTTCGAGGTGTACCTTGGCAAGGTGGCAAGCGTAGGTGTGTCTGTTGCGCGACGCCAAATAGAATAATCGTCGGATAGAGATTGCGATCGTACATAGCGGCATCTGCCATGACGAACTTGACGAAAGTCGACACGGGCCCGCGGAGGACGAGGATGACGCGTCGATGTCTGTTTCAAACCCGACCTAAGATGAGTGATTCGATCTGGAACTTTGCTTTATACGACAGTTTCGTCGTCCTCGGAAAAACTGACGAAGATCTGCGCATGCCGCGAGTCGGTGACGGGTATGTCATGGTCTGCTCTGATATGCACTCACAGGATTCGAGTACGGCCTGTCAACATATTTCGTGTGGTCTACGAACGCATGAGTGAGCGCGGGTTGAGGGAAACATTGAGGGGACGTACGGTCGTAGGCGCGTAGGCAACAAGCCTACCTGCAGCGTTTGGAATGAGCGGCCACTTCCCGCGCTATAAACACGACGTCGCGTCATAGGAGTGAGCGTAGTATTCCCATAGAACGCCGCCGACTCTCCCAGCACATAATTTGCCCCAAAGACGAGCTTGAGTACGGTGGTCACTACGCAAGTGTGACTCTCAAGTTAGATGGGTAAGCTGCCACCATTGCCCACTCAACGCACGCCCTCAGGCAAGGCTCGTTATACGGTGGATAAAGGCAAAATTAAACGAATGGCGCACTAGAAAGCCTTCAACCCAAAAGACAGACGTGAACGTTTTCGGAGCGCCGGAGGATCGGACCGACCATTCCGAGGACGATAACGGCTTCACATCTGCGAGTACCTGCTCGGACACTGATTCTCGACGCAACGTCCTCAAGTTTCAAGGCACTTGGCCGATGGGATCGATACAGATTTCCATGGTAAAATGCTGGATAAATTAATCCTACAGATGACCACTAATGATGTCCCTGCGAGAATCTATGTGTATCTACTGCAGACCAATATTCAGTACAACGGGGCACAGACTCGCCAACGGCTGGAAAGGATCAACGTACCTCGTCCATACCCTCCTCCTCCTCCGTAAGCAGCCGCTCGACCTCGAGCGCGGCCATGCACCCGCTTCCCGCACTCGTGATCGCCTGGCGGTAGCGCTTGTCCTGTACGTCGCCCGCTGCGAACACGCCCTTGACGCTTGTCTGCGTCGTGCCCGGGATGGTGATAATGTACCCGTCCGAGTCGGTCTGGAGCTGCGAGCTGACGAGCGACGTCGCGGGCTCGTGTCCGATCGCGTAGAACAGGCCGCGCACGGGGAGGTCCTTCTCCTCGCCCGTCTTTATGTTCTTGATGCGCAGGTTGTTGAGCAGGTTGCCGTCGCCTAGGCACTCGGTCGCGACTGTGTTCCAAAGGATGGTCTGAACAAGATGGCAAGGAAAAAGGGACATGCAATAAGAAAAGAATCAGGGGTGAGTAATGAGCCTAGAACAGGGTGAAAGAGGAAACGCACGATCTTGGGGTGGTTCATGAGACGCTTAGCCATGATCTTCGAAGCGCGGAGCTCGCCGCGACGAACGAGGACATAGACGTGCGAGCCGTACTTCGTGAGGTCTGGTGACCCGCTATCAGCATGCATCTCCACGGACATTGGCTGTAAGAACTCACAAGTGGCTTCCTCAGCCGCCGAGTCGCCGCCACCGATGACAGCCAATGGCTTATTTCTTCACGCGCTCCTCATGTCAGCATCTCCAAAGGCCAATCAAGGATGGGGTGGGATTGAATGAGATCCTCACCTGAAGATGGGCACTGCGCCGTCGCACACTGCGCATGCGCTGATGCCGCTCTGCCAATAGTCATCCTCGCCCTTGAGAGAAAGGCGCTTCGCGCTTGCGCCGGTCGCGATGACGACGGTGTCGGCCGTCTCAGGCTCGTCGCTCTCCTGGCCCTCGCGCCAGTAGCGGAAGGGGCGCTGGGAGAGGTCGATCTTGGACACCGTCTCGGTGATCACGCGCGTGCCAAATCGGATGGACTGCTCGCGGAACTTCTGCATGAGTTCAGGCCCGAGGATGCCGGAGGGGAATCCGGGGAAGTTTTCAACTGAGGTGGGAGTCAGGTTGGCGTGGGCTGACGGTGGGGTAGTGGGATTGGAAGCAGTGGGAACGTACCATCGGTGGTGGTGGTGAGCTGACCGCCGGCTGCGAAGCCATTGGCGAGGAAGCCCTCGAAGAGGACTGGGTTGAGGTTGGCACGGGCGAGGTAGATGGCGGCAGTGTGGCCAGCAGGACCCGACCCAATGATGATCTATGCGGAGAAGGCGTCAACCCATGTCTCGGAACTAGACGAGATCGGGATACGCACGACACTGGAGTGCATCTTTGAAGACTTTCCGTTTGCAAGAGGAGCCATGTTAGAGGATGAACGAGATGGAGTGTCTTGGGTTTTCAGGCCGACGTATGTGGTAGCAGGAAGTAAGAAAGGAGAGGCCCTTAAGGCTCGAGGGAGAGAAAACCGGAACAGGGTGGTGAGGGAATGCAGGATGAACTTTTATGGACACGACAGAATCAAGTCAGCTTTGCTGGATTCAGCCTCATCATGGCGAAAACGCGACGAGATATTGCCATCACGTGACCCCATATGTCAAGCTCACGTCAGCAACCTTGTCAGCAACGGCCTGCAGCGGCGCAGGCCAATCGGCGCCCATCCACTGACCGGCGAGTGGCACTGCGAAACTATCATCCACCATTTTTTCAAGGTCACCGATGAACCGGCTGACAGAACCTCTCCCAACATGTGACAGATCAACTTCGGATCCGACCCCGGCAACCGCTGGGTCCAGTAGTGAGCTTGCTCTAAGTCGAGCGTCCTTCGTTCAGCCGACTCAGAGCTCACATCTTCTTACATAGAGCTGTTAGCTACTGCCTCGTGACGATCAACTCGTCACCAACTTTGTATTAGCCTTCAATGGCCATTCAAACATAGATACATGCCAGAGCAAGTGGTAACAGGTTATAATATGTAATTCTGCATCTCTCGTGCACTCTTCTCAATGCCTTTGCTATTTCTGCCTGGTACTCACGTTTCCAATCCTCTCCCCAAAGCATGACTTTCGGCTCGTTAAACTTCGTTAAGCTGCATTGCTGAGAGCGACGCTGTGTATTCACCCATGGTATTCTTCGTCCAAGCAGATCCCATAGCTATTCGCAGAATAATGAGCTGTTGGGATAAAATCTAGTTAAAGATTCAACGACTTGCCAACAAAGGAAGGAAGATTCCACATACACAAACTGCGACCCAGACGAAGGACATACCTTGCGCCACATCATTGGAGGAAAGCACCAACGTGAAAAAAATAATACTGATAACAGTAAAGGGTATTGTTCCTTCGACTATCAGAGACAAAGTATCCAAATACTTTTTTATGAGATCTTGGCGTCCTGGCATGGCGAGGCGGATTTTCCAGTACATGCGCAGGAGGGGATAGCATATTAACGAGCTAATGCAGATATTGAACAAGGCGGTAGAAGCAGCCCAGGTTGTATTGAAAATGCCTCCAAGTCCAGTGAACAGAGTACCGTGTCCTGCGCCACTTTCGATCAGTGTGAGGGTAGAACATGCTAGAAAGAGCATTAGCAACATCCTCGAACACAAATGATGATGCATCTTACATACTGTGACCAAGTATAACATAGTCGGTAAGAAAATTATTCGCTTTTTTCCATTCCAGATAATAAAACAACGCCAGAGCTACATGTAGTGTAAATTCCTTAATCAATACAATGCAAGATGGTTGGAAAAGCTTCCTTACCATTAGTCCGTCGCTCATTATGTTGGCAATGGACGCCGACGTGCATGCCAGAATCATGGGCCATGAATCCACGTTTTCTTCGTACCAGCGAGGAGGACCCCCCTCAATGTTGCGATAGTTGATCCAAAGGAGTTGACCAAAGTATTTGGTGGAAAAGAGAAATATTGTGAACAATGTAACTAGAGCTGCTCCAAATGGAATGTAAAAGGAGTTCCAGCGGCGCTCAGCCGAAGGTCTCTTCCGGAGGAGGTAAACCGACAAAATGTACATGCATATATCAGCACCTTTATGTCAATGCAATATTAAGTTAAGAGCGAAAGAATCAAGAGATAATTAGCATAACTCACCATAAAGGGTTGTTTCAATCGTATATGCAGCATATATACTGACTTCCAAGGTCATTTCTTTCGGGTCCATGCTTACCAAGTGGCAAGATCCAATGGAAGTAAGATAGGTAGCGTAGGATGATGGTGATGATTTGAGTCAAGTTTTTCCGCTGAATATATACTTTTTGCCCACCGTTGCCTTCGGCCAAGCACGCATACTTGATGACGGACTGCACATCAGGCTATAGACTAGTAAGATCCGTCTCAACCACGTGTAGCTGGCCGTTCCACGTACTGCTTGACTCATCTCTGTGATATGACAGAGTGAAGGAATTATACAAACGAATCGGAAGACAGGAACGTTGAACGTTCAGACCTCGAGGGATGTTCCGTTATCGAGGGGCTGTGGCGGTCAACGCTGTAGCTCGGACACACTAGGACGCCGACAAGTTCAAGCTGATCTACACGAGCGGGAGATTATTTATGCGACCTGCGGTCGTCATTACTTGTGTAAAGTCAAACAACAAGACTCAGCACTGAACTGTACTTTGAACTCGCACTAATACGCCGCATAGCTTCCCACAAGTGTCATTATTAGCTGCGAAAATTCCCGCGAGAGCCGCATCCTACAATGCACAGGCCTCGACTTATTCAAGCCCTTCAATTGGGAGGAGTCGATTCAAGCTAGTATACACGAGGAAAAGTCCATATATATTCGGAGCTAAAGTCGAATCAAAAAGGACGTTTCAAAGTTCATAGTTTGATGCCGGAACGACTGTCAGGCTGTAATGGAAGCAACTGGCTCGCTTCCTACGACATCGGACCGATTGATCTATCTTATACAGCAGGCCTCGAGTTCAATCCTGCGGTTATTAACGTAGTGAGGATGCGGAAGCGTTTTGAACATTACCATGAAGCAACTCTGGCACAAGGAATTTCCTCCCTTCGGAAGGTTCACACAATGTACATATTCATTACTTGGAGGAACAGTCCGAACAGCTCGCAGCAAGCATAAAAGCCAAACGCCACTTAATATAGTTCTAACGTTCTAACGTTCCGCAAAAACCTACCTCATCTTTGGGCCCAATCGGTTTTGCCGGCATTGTAGTTGTCGCTGAAGCTCTCGCTCCTCATGCACGCTTTCATCTCTGGAATTGACGCGATCCCCAGCTGGTTGTGAGGTACGGAGCAAGGAGTCAACGTCCATGACGCAAGGTGCGGGGTAGTTCATCCCGGTCGTAATGTGCCGTCAGTAAAACATGTTTTCAGTTTCACATTTTATAACCGACACCGGAAATCTCTTACCATCTCTATCCCCTGTTTATTTACATGGCTTGGACATTGCTTGTTGTACCTGATTTACGGCAAATTAACCTTGCGGCTGTGTGATAAACACAGGCAGTTGAGCAATTATGGCGGATTCCGACACATAAGCGCCCCACTATCTGTTCAATATCTGTTGATAAAAGAAGCGGCCAGGTCATAAATATAGCGTCAGTTACTTCCACCAATGGCATCAGACCCGTGCTTCAGGTAACAGTCCAAAGGCTCCAATTGGAATATGCCGAAGCGTTTGGACATTTACGCTCCATCAATGTCCTGGAGTAGCGTTGGCATAAATTCTTCCAGTACCAGTGGTGAAAGTTGACCTATAGTTTCCAGATATTGACCTATCGTGAACGTCTCCTGGCATAGTCCAGATTTAGAACATGCGACTTTGTCCGTCCTCTTCGAAGGTTTTCCTTGCAGTGTTTATGTTTAATGGAACTGCACCAAATCCGCCTGTGCGACGTGAAGGAAGCGCTGAAATTCTTATCTGTTCCCAAAAATGTTTAGAGTCATGAACTTGTCTGATTATAGTTTAATCAACGCAATAGCCTCTTTCCATCACTTAACGCGCCTTGAGTCGTATACACTATGACCCGATATCTGTTTGTACAAAGTATCCAATTGACCTCGTATCGACTGGCATAGCCCCACTATCATGATGGAGTAAATGACACGAGTCACAGATCATACGTCGTTCTCCTTAGCTATTTGTGCTTCGAAAACCTCGTCAAATCGTCGGCCTACTTGCGATTCGGTGAGCTCGATCACAGTGTCCCTCGTCCACGCAGTACCCATAGAAATTCGAAGGATTATAAGTTGCTGCGAAAATACCTACACAGTTTATGAGTATTTCGTTACTTTTAGATAATAAGTAACGCACACAAACACTGCACCATATGTCCCTTGCAATGATTGTAATACTCAACTGGTTGTCGTAAAGTTCCAGTATAAATGACATGACTGCCAAGATGGCGAATGGGATTGTCCCTTCAACGATCAAAGACACCATTCCCGTGTATTTCTTCCGCACGTCGCGATGTCCTGGAACACTGTCACGTAGTATCCAGTACGTGCTGAGAAGACGCCAGCATATCATAGAGCTGACGGAAACATTGAACGCAACGGTTGAAGCCGCCCAAGCTATATTAAAAACGTTTCCAACTCCTGTCAAAATAGTATTGCTGGTCAAAGCCTTCTCGACCAATGTGACGAATGAAACTGCTGTGTCACAGTTAGCTCTCTGACGCTAAATATACAGATGATGGTTGTATTTTTCTCACAGACGAAAATAAAGTATAGAATGATGGGGATTATGACAGGACGTATCCTGCTATCCCAAATGATGTAGCAACGCCAGAGCTGGTTTGTCCATGAGCCTTTGCATGAAGTGGTGAAAAGCGTTCAACGTACCATGAGACCGTCTCCCATCCAGTTCGCAATGATAGTTGCCACGGTTTCGAGGACGTCTGACCACGAGTTTAACGCGGCTTGATCTGAATATGCAGATTCTGCCAAGTTCCGAGTTCCCTTCAAATAGAGTGTGCAGGCCAGATATTGAGTTGTAAAAAGTTGAACTGTCAACATCAGGAGAAGAATCCCTCCAAATGAGGTGTAAAATCCAATCCAGAGGCGTTCGGCTTGAGGGTTCTTCTGTAGTAGATGAAGCGATGTTATGTACATGCAAATGTCAGCACCTGTAAAGCATATTCAAACATCCACCTGACCGGTCTGAAGTAAAGATCAACTAACCGTACAGTATGCTGATTAAGACGCCTGCAAGATATGTCCCAATATCCAGCGGCATGTCGCTGGAGTTCATTACGGGAAAATGTTTGGGGATGACAATGAAGGCGAAATGACTAAATAGATGTTGAGATGATGGTCATAAATGTGGTGCCCTTATACTGCACCACTCCATGCGATCGGCCGATAACATAGCAAAATTCACGGTGTTCTTGTCTTGCGCGTAGAGCTATGACACAGATGAGCCCTCACCTGTCCAGAGCAGTTTCTTTTGGTGCCTCAAGGATCCGTTCCACTAACAAATACCACGGTCATCTCGGAAGAAACTTTCCAATAATGAGGATCTTGACATTGGATGCTCCCACTTTGAGCCGTACCTTTGATTAGAAGATTCATCTAGGTCCCACAGTATCTCACGATTTAGGCCTCAAGCGCTAAACAAAAGCCTTGATAACCGTGCCGATCAATCCGGTTGTCGTCGACACTGTCTCCCGACCAACGAGACACGTTCAGAAATAAGTGCTCGGCTTACCGGGTGTCCGTGATCCAATAAAAGTCGAGCAGTCTGCACATGTCAGGGGAGAAATTCCAAATGCTCCGGCAGGTGTGCCTTCGGACGACATCGGACGTTCCCCAAGCCTTATCGACGCGGTGACGTTAGCGCACCGCCGAGACGTACAATGGTTTCTATAAGAAAATTATTAGCGCTCGTCAGCGCGCTCCGAAGAGAGAGCGTGATACTCATTAGACCCGCAATGTTCCTACCCAAAGCCAATTTGATTCAAAAATGGTGGGGTGGAAAACTCCTGACAAGTGTACAAGCTTTACGCCGCGTTACACAATCGACGATTGGCCCTTGTCGTAGTTCAAGGCACCCATGTCGGTCCGGAAATTTAATATGTTAAACAGACGCCAGTGAAGCGGCGCGTCTCCTGTTTCCGCACCGATAACAAGCGAAGAAAGCACAGCGCTTAAGGCAATGGTTGCGATAGCCTATGTCGGTGGTTAAGATTGAGTTCATAAAGTTTCGCTTGGACAGAACAAATCTTTCCGTGCCCCACTGGCAGAGACCGTGTCCGTGCATGAGAACGGATTGAAATAAATCACTCACGTCAGTTCAGGTACGTGGTTATGGTGTTCCAAAGATGCACAAAGATGCTCACTACGAGCTACACAGCTCTGGACTGCGGATGTATCTGTTGTCCTGCATGACCTTGAACCTTGTGCGTGGTAAGCGTTGTAGTACAACTGCAGTATCGGCAGCAATCAGGTTCTGTGGCGGTGCATGCCCGTTCAGCCGGCCCTGAAGCTGAAGCTGGAGACGCCTTGCATTTGCGACGCGCGTCGCGCCGGGTCGCGTCAACCTGGGAGATCAGTTTATCTGTCTACAATTCCGGGATTTCATCGTCAACGGACTACGATGGCGGCTCTGCAACAAGTACTAAACCTGGTAAATATGCTATGACCTCTCTCACGTTCTTGATCTTACCACATACGCAGCTGGCATCTGTCGGTCACGAAACTAGTGTCAGTTCAGCAGATTCGCTTTGACGTGATGGGTGACTGACTTTCTCCATTCCAGGCCTTGACCCACACTCAGTTTGAGGGGTACACGAGCAAGAACCACATCGTGGCACCTCAGATGTTTCGAGATGTACGCCAGGTCATTTCTGGCTTGGCGACTGTGATGGACGCCCTCGACACCGCTATCATTCGCTTGATCGAGTACAAGGCACTCCTTGCGGACTCTCATCGTGATCACTCAAGGCTTATCTCACCCATGTCGTACCTTCCTACCGAGATTTTAGCTACCATTATCTCCCAAGCGGCAACTCCAGTCCCCGACGACCGACCAGACGTATCCTTACAGTATGCGTATTATCTGGACGGTGGTGTAGTCACTAAAGGGATCCGAACCGCTATCCGAATGTCGCTCGTCTGCAAGCGCTGGCGTGATATCACGTTCGCTGCACCTGCCTTGTGGCACAAAGTTCAAATCGATTGGCCACAAAATCAAGACGAGATTACAAGCTCGGTGCTGCTCACTCGCTCTCGCCCACTCCCGGTCTATCTTGCTATACGTATCAAATATAGCTTGTTCGGACGGAGAGAGAGCTTCAGTGACGATGCATTTGCCCCGTTCTCAGACGCTTGTCGGATCTTAGAAGTTTACGACGATAATATTGAGCAGCGATACATCCGTCAGATCCTGGACACGGCCTCGCAGTGGCCCGCCCTCGAGCAGGTCAGCTTACCAAGAGTGGACTTACACTTGAATGAGACGTATGGATCTATGGGAAACATCCGCCGGCTGCAGGTTGGGATTCAAGGCGAGGACGCCCAGCACTTCTTCAATTCCCGCTACCTTAGGTAGTGCCAGGTCTTACCGGCACTTCGTGTGACCGAGACTCCTGCCAAATTCTTACTCCTGTTGGGTCACGTGATATTTCCAGCTCCGTTGCTTCTCCGCCATCGTCTTTTCCCATTTCGGGAAGCATTTTAAGCTCCGCTTCAGCGGCAGCGCGCCGCTGCCCTGCTGCTTTTACCTCTTGAACGCATTATCATCATTCAACGTTCAATTGCTCAATGCTCACGCCGATGCCCGCTCATTCGAACGGAGACCCAGGATCCTCAACCTGTTTTCATCAGTCGTGCTCTTTTAATAGTTATTTGCCTGTCCATGCGGACAATTGTCAGTCTGAGCCACGCCATTGTGCTGGGTTACCGTTGAACAGTGTGACACAAAACAATGAGGAACTCACGGAACTTATTTGCTCTGATATTGCCTCTAATATCTGTCAACTCCTTTCGAATTCTGGTTCCACAAGTGTTTTCAATTGTGAATTTTCTGTTGTAGTTGTGCTTGCATCTTTGCGCGGTTTGTCATCTCGAGACCCTGAATCAGCTAATAATCTACGGTCCATATTGGCCACTCATCTGATTCTTGGACACTGTGCACACACAAGAGTAAATGGTGCAACTCCTTCTGTCTGCTCACATATTTCTCATGGGTTACCAGCCCTTGAATTGCGCAGATTTGTTTTCTCTGCAATCAGACCTACTATATTCTCTCCTGCCACCAGTATGTTTGATCTAAGAAATATGATATGATGGTGTTCCCCATATGTTTTCAGACACGAATTGAGATATTTGGGATAACACCTGACGGTAGCGGGCTTTTGCTGCTGCGCGGCCTTACCTCATTTGCCTTGGACGCGCCTTGAATCCCTTGTCTTGCATCAATACGAGAGGTCGCGTGATGAACGCACGTCAGTTCGCATAAACCTGCTCAACTTCGCCGAGAACTTTCCTCGACTCGAAGATTTTCTCGTAACCTTGTATAGGGTGGACCTCAGCCCGCTTCCCGCTTCTCCCATTGTCCATCCTACACTTCGCGTGTTTGGATTAGACTACGATTACATCGCTGGAGGTCCCGTTCATGGCATATCCGCACTCCTGGGCAAGGTCACTCTTCCCAAGCTCGACATACTCATATTTACTGGGGAGAACATCGACTCGTTGGATGCCGTCGAAGGACTGCTCCAGCGATCTCAGTCGCGGCTTTCAACACTTGTGGTAGTGCAGTGTGAGCACAGGTCAGGCATGGTTCGATTGGAAGACGCGAAAAAGCGATTCCCTGATTTGCCAGTCTTTGAGGACTGGTCATTGGTTCAAACCGAAGAGTTCGAGGCGTGCAGGAGGAAGTGGTACACAAAAGACGCTCCGTGGATGAATTGGGGTTAGACGTCACGTTAGAGAATTGACTGGTGGATCCAGTACGCGTTTGTCAACTCGTATTGATAATTAATGGCCAGTGTCATGAGCATATGTACTACCTGCTCAAGCTCAAGCTCAAGGGCAACTAATCTTCCCGCTGCTGCTTTGATGCGTCGGGTTCCGGACCTTGCTACTGTTGTCCGGCAACCCCAAGGTCTGACGCTCCTGTCTCCCCCCTTTCAGCCTCTCGACACGTCGTCCACCCCGTATCGTTTGCCGACGCGCCAACGTTAGGGATGCTCGTCCCTCTCACATTTCCTGCATGCGCGACACCAAAGAGTCATTCGACGACTAAGTCAAATGTCCTGGTTTCTAGCTTCTCGGAAGACCAACCCACCTGCATCACGTCATCCGGCGCTGCAGTCGCTGTAGGCACCCATTCTGGCTCCTTGTTCCTTTTTCATCCCCCTCCATCTATCCCACCTCCGCCCGTCAGAACGCCCGATGCGACAATACACTCGTCTGCCGTATCAGAGTCGTCGCGTACGCCGACCCCATCTCACCAAGTATCTGATCCATTCTCCCGCCTCGCGCAAACATCTCACTCCCGTCGACCCTCCCGCACTATCCATCTCTCCCGTTCTTCTTCTCCATCCAAGCTTCCGCATCACCATGGAACACTAACACCACCACTGAAGACACACTCACAACTCCATGGCAACGATCCGATGTCGCTCATGAGTCCCGGAGGCTCCGCCCGTTCACGCGTCGCCCCGAGCGTATCTCACGAACAAGCATCCGCTGATGCGGGGTCACGAATATCCATGAGCGAGGATACCAATGCTAGGGAGATGCTAAGAAGCGCGGGCGGAAACGACAGACGAACGAGCACCGCGTCTGCTCCGTCGCCTCGGCCGCGTGGGTTGGGAGAGGGGTTGGTGTCCAGTATGGGCCTGGGGCTTGCAGGAGTAGGAGTGTCGGTGGAGGGAGGCAGAGACGGAGGCAGGGAGGGAGGCAAGGATAAGGATAAGGACCCAACATCGCTGCTTTCCGCGATGAATTCGCCATCCATCCCGACTTGGACCGCGTCTAACCCACCATCGCCATTCCCGTTCTCGCCATCCACGTTGCAGGTACCGCCTCTCGAACTCGAGCAGAGCTCCCTGGCGCTCCGAGCGCATTCAGTGTCTCACACAGCTGGTGGACCTGTGGTGGCCCTTCAGGCAGTTCATGAACGAAGCTTGATGTTGGCACTTTCACGGAGTGGGTAAGCCTTATTTTCCTCTATGTGCCTTCGTCGCCTTCATCCGTTCCTGCGCGTTCCTCCATCAGCCTTGCCCAAGAATGATCTAACTGACTATATCTTTGTCCCTATCTCATAGTGAGCTCCGTCTACACGATTCCCTTGATGGTTCTCTTCTGGCCAACGCTGTTGCAAGCCAGTCTCAAAGTTCTTTGCCGTCACCAGAACGCTGGAAATGGTCTCGCATGACAATATTGGACCGTCAATCGAAGGTAAAGTGTTATCATTGATAGCATATATGCGCTTCACTGGGCTCAATACATTTGCGTAGGATAGTGTATGCGTTGTTGCGATAGCATCAGCAGCTACCGAGGAAGATGACGAAGATGAAGGGCTTTTTTCATCATCCGACTCCGCTTCTGAATCAGATTCACGTTCTGCAAACTTTGCGCTATTCAATGTCTCGTTTGGTAGCGGGACGCTCAAGGATTCCATATCTTGTCTGGGAACGTGCTCGCTCAAGCTGGCAGAGGGCGAAGAGGGGCTTGACATTAGGACAGTGGACGTCTGGGCTGATGCTGGTACGTGGATAACTACGTGGGTACAAAAGAGGCGTTCTGATAGAATCTCGTCGAATAGATGGCGAGCCTATCATCGCCATCCTCAACGAGAGCGGTCACCTCGTCCTTCGTTCCCTCTTCGCTTACACGCGCCGCGGCGGCAGCATACACTCTGTAGCATCAAACGGCACCAAGTCTTCCAGTCCGGCGACGTCCACTTCTGCATCCGCCACTGCAGCAGCCATCGCTGCTTCAGCATCATCGGGTTTGATTCTGCCAAACCCGTTCCGAGGGAATGGGGCTAAGTCCCCTGAGCCGGGCTCCTCCCCGTCTACCAACGAAGTCGATGAAGTCCGACAGGTGATGTTAGGCAAGACCCGCGATGTCGGATCAGTCTTGCCCGAGGGGTGTAAGGTCCTGCGTATGGGCTCGCGAGCTGTGGATGCAGGCCGTCGCGTCGTGGGAGCGGTCGTCCACGTGAAGGAGGATGAGAGCCTTGGGGTGGTTGTATGTATCTTTCGATGGGCGTAACAAGCATACGCTTGACTGATGGCCTTTTTAACAGGGCTTCGAGTGCAACTCTCACGATGACAGTTTGCGCACACACTCTCTAGACGTCCAGAGTGAAACCCCGACCAGTGCTTGGACCAGTGATGCTGTGGCAGTAGACTTCGTAAATGATGAAACGTTAGCCCTTACCCTGGTTCGCCTCAATAGCATCTGCTTCATCCTACGGCTGACACCCGCTTTTGGGCATAGGGCAAGGAGGCGAGATATTTTAAGGTGGAACCTCACCTTCGCTGGTCCCTTTCCCAAACCATTCCTCTCGATGATGTCCACACGTCCGTAGCAACCGAGAGCGGTATTCTGATCCTGAGAGCGTCTACCAAGGACATCGTTATCCACCCTCGAGAAGTCGCAAAGCCGAGCAGACTCTGGGTTAGCCAGGCTCATCGCGAGGAAACGCTACCCTCGCCAGAGGACGCTCCGCGGCTGACCGCGGCGCTACCCTTGGAGCTTGGGTTGATTATACTCGGTTACAGTGCGTCGACCTGTCATACTTCTCGCATATCTTATGTTAACGTGCGATTGCAGGCGATGGTCTGTTGAGACAGACTTCCCTGCCCCGCATGGCCATACCGGCTGCAGACAGCGATACATTCGTGAAGATGTCAGATGTACCTATGAATGGAGCGGTTCAAAGCATTTTCGTCGTGCAACATGATCGTACAAAAGAACGGTTCGTCGTTGGTGGTGCGGACGATGGCGGGTTGGGCGTTTGGTCGCTCGAGTGCGTACTCGTGTACTTGTGTTGCTTAAAACGTGACCTGAGTTGTTGTTTGCAGTACCCTCGAGTTACGCGCAAGATGGACACCTTTCATGGCTCCACTGGTACACGTCATCCAGATAACGCAACCAGGTCCTCTGCGTGGATGCGCCATCTGCGTATCGAAAGACGGGGCGGCAGTTGTGTTTGCCATAGATGGTCTGAGCTTGTAAGATATTATCCACTTGTTTTGTCCCTGCTCCATGCTGAGTTATCGGTGCATTTATAGCTTGTACATGGTCCCCACGTCTTCAACGCCTCTCACGAAACTATATCTCAGTGGAGACAATCTTCTCGTGCTTTACGCGAGCAGCATGGGTCGCCTGTGGGACATGCGCACGGGTGAATTTTGGCGAGCACTCAGCAGCGACAAGGTCCGAGAGCTCGTGGCTCAAGGGGAATGGACGGAGTTGTAAGTATGAGGGAGATGGCAAGCGTGGGCACGACTGACTCTGTTTGATAACAGTGATGTATCAGAGAAGGTGGGACCGCATACCACATCTTTGTCGGCTTTCCCAACCTCAAATTCGTCCTCACCCGACTTAGGTGAATGTGCCCCTTTATGCGCCGTTAGCGATTATTGACTTGAAGGAGGGCAGCATGCACACTTGTTCTCGACCTGGAGCGCTTCATCAAGTCTTCTCCGTTGCATCCTAGATCTGGTGCAAGCACGGCCACCGTACCGACGAGCACGCACGACTCACTCGAACATGTTCGATCCGTGTTAGCTGTGCTACTGACCTCCGGGATCAGTCCCGATATCGACGACATATGTCTGCAGAGGCTCGGCATACAGCTCTCATCGGGTGGTGTGGGGCTTGCTGGGTGCGTCAATCATTGCATCGGTGATCTGCCAAGTCTCTGCTCTCTAACAGATACACGACTTATAGGGAGAGTGCGAGTGTCCTGCTGAACTTACCGTGCTCACGGGAGGCATGGTGCATCTCTCCGCGAGTTTCAGCGGCCCGAGCTCTGGCAGTTATAGCCTGTCTCAGAGCCCTTGGAACGAATGAAAGTGAGCGTTCATCCACATCGCCCGCCATGACAGCTATGCAGTCTGCTAACTGCGCAATGCTCCACTCAGGATTGACCGACGATTGTCAGACCGTCATCACGTTTTATGCGACGTCGCTTGGTTCCACACTTGGCATCTGCTTTCAACCTCCTGACCTTGTGTATCTTGCACGGACGTGGTTCGAATCGTCGCGTAAGTCACTGGCACTGTGATCGTGTGACCCCTAACTGCTGAACCACTTACCATAATCTACAGATGATATACGTCATGCTGCGAGAATATTGGTCGACGCTGGTGTTGTACGCATGTCTGATGAAGAGAGCGTAATGCTTTGTGATAGGTGGCAGCATCATCGTAAGTACCTCATGCGCCGACCTCACGCGATCCTTCTGACTTTGGTGCAGTGCCATGGCTCCAGCCAGACGCGTACAAGGAATCCGAACTCGCAGCACTCGCTCTCTTCATCTGTGGCTCTATTGCTGTTGAGAAATATAGCCTTCTGTCTGCGGGGTATGATCACCATTACTCGTCACGGTGTCGACCAGAGTCTCAACTTCACGTTGTAGTGCCCTCACGGACGTTGCCAAGTCTGTAACTTCCTATCTCTACGACGAGCACTCGAAACACCGCTTGCTGGCGATCGACCTTGCTGCGAGGGGCTTCCACATCTGGCAGCACTACGTCGATGCTATGGACATGCTCCGCGCGTTATGTAGTCTCGCGACGAGCCATCGCAAAGATACGATCTCTGCGCAGAACGCAGGCCCCATGGCTCGATCGGCAGTTCTGCAGATTGCATCAGCGAACACGCCGCTCTTCATGACGACGCTCACGATGGACATTCTCAGTCCAAAGAGCGCGGAGCATCGCAAGTCGGTGCTCCAGATCGTCGCCTTCTTGATACGGAAAAGGCCGATGGTTCTCTATGCGAATCTGCCGAAGCTCATGGAGGCGGTTGTGAAGAGCCTCGACCCGAATGCCTCGAGCAGCAGAGACGTCGTCTTCGATACGGCAACGGAGATACTTGGGCATGTTGTCAAAACGTAAGCATGCTCTATCTCCTCCGACTGCGAATGCGAATGCGAATTCCCATGCTGAATGACCACGTGTAGATTCCCGACCGTGGACTTCCACGGCGCAACTCAGCGCCTAGCAGTTGGAACGAGCGAGGGTGCTTTCATCATGTACGACCTCAAGACTTCGACACAGCTATATGTACTTGAAGGTCATAAGAAGCGTCCTACGGCCTGTTCATTCTCACCTGATGGTCGCCGGCTGGTGACAGTCTCCCTGGAAGAAGGGGTAGTATTGGTTTGGAAAGTTGGATCGAGCTTTACGAGCCTGTTTAACCCTGGAGCGCCGCCTCGTCAAGGTCATAGCGGGTCGGCACCATACAAGACTCTTCCGTTCAATGTAGGGAATGAGGGTGAGTTATACTTCTGATCCGATTCTTTTGTATGACCAACCAGAAGCTGACTTGGATATTGCAGCGGACATGTCCATATCTGGAACTCTGGAATGGGTGCGGTTTGAATGGGTTGCGGAGAGGAATGTACGCCTGAAGATTAAAGAGAGTGTGCTGACATTTAGCACCTGATCACACTCACACTATTTCGTTCAAGCTGTTGTGTATTTTAGTGACGGTCCGTGTGCTTATAATCGCGATAAAACGTCACTCGTGCTCTCTTTTTGTATGGTTGAGTGCAGGAGTATAAAGCTTTCTCGAATGACATGCTACTTCTGGGATGACGGATACACACGATCCAGTGATCGAGACTGTCCGCCCAGAGTGCGTGTGCCGTCCTCATGGATTTGCAAACCATTCTGTAAGAATCATCTCATCGAAGTGGTAATATTCTCTAAGGTGTTAAATGTCTTATTCTAGCATCCGAAGTTCCAGCTTATTGAGGTCTCCAAGTTTCGTTGCGACATTCACGGACAGTTCCGCCTCAGTGGTTTTAGACCAGGCCAAACCCATGGCGATGCGCATAATGATGAACTGTTGCGACAGGACCTAAACGCCATCGACGTTAAAACATTTCTACAGAGAAACGCAGCGCGATGCTTACACAGAAACAGGTCCATACGCGCGAGATGCAAATTTGAGAAACGCTCTCGCATGCTTCGGATATAACAAAAGCGATCCCGAGAACAGTGAACGGTATGGTGCCCTCGACCATCATGGATACAACGCCTGTGTGCCGTTGAAGGAGCGCGACAGATGCGCTAGCGTTGGCTGCCCGATTAGTCTTGATGATGTGATAGCAAATCAAGGCCGTCACAATGCCGTTGAAGGATGCTGTGCAAACTATCCAGGCGATGTCCCACGGCATAAGAGTAGTGGCCCAGTCATTACTTGAAGGCCCAGCATCTTCTATGACAGTAGCGATCGATGACACTATATTGAGGGTGTCTCTAGTGTGTTCTGACCAAAACATGAATATCAGATTAAACTAACCGAAAGTTCCCGCGTATAGTAAGGCAGGTAGAACAAGATAGTAACGTTCTCCTTGCAGTATAATGAAGCAGCGACGAAGCTAAAACAGATTTACCGTCAATATTCAGGATAACTCGGAGCAATTCGCACCATGAGACCATCGCCCATCATGTTGGATACTGTCGTTGTTGCTGAGGCAAGCACACCAAGCCAACTGCTCTTGTTATTATGTAGCCAAATCGGTGGTCCTCCTGGTGTGCCCCTATCGATAATCCACAAGAGTAAACCAAAGACTTGGATAGTCGCAACGTAGATAGTTATCATCAATAAAAGAATTCCACCATATGCAATGTAGAATAGCACCCAGCCGCGACTGGGCTTCTGTCTTTTGATAAGAAGGTACACCGTCATGACATACATACATAGATGCACGCCTGTCGGTAAGTCAGCATATGTTCCATATGCTACAACGTAGACCCTGCTTACCATACAGGAATGATAAGAGAGCATTCCCAACGTATGTGCTGATTTCCAGCTGGAGCTCCTGGGAGGCCATGTTAGCGAGGCTTTGAATGTCAATATCGGTAAAGTATGGGGTTGTTATCAGATATATTTTATACCTCCTTCAAATGCTGTTCGAAGAGCGGATCGCGGAATACCCTGAATCTGGCGGCGCGTGGGGCTCGTCTCCCGGGCCGGGGGTTGGCAGGGATACACGGGACGATGAGCTCAAGAGGCAGCCCGTGCCCAATCGGAACGAGGATTTCAGGGGTTAATGTTGATCCATCAGATGCAAGGATGCTGTGTAAGCTTGTCTTCGTGCTAGGCTTCTTTGCCTTACCGCGACGTAAAGGCCCATTGATAGGCGAAAAGTACACTGATTTTGACGTTCTCAACGACCGACATGTCAAGTCTACAGGGATTCCACTGTGATGACGCAGCTGAACGCTTGGTACATGGAGACCGCCTTACTGTCTGACCTTGGGAAGTACTTGAAGAGGAACATATCAGGGGAAGTGATCACTTTTGGATGTCCGGTCCTTCGCACAACGTGGCTGACTGGCGTGCGTCTGCAGCACATGCTACCCTTGTTGGTACCTAAGCTGAAGCGAACAAGATACAGAAAAAAAACTGCTCGCTATGAGAAGTAGCGATGTGATCCAGATCAACGGAAGTGACAAAAGCTGTTCCTCATGAGGAGCCGCCAACACGATGGTTTGGTGATTAAGATTTTTTGGGGCGCTTAGGGTCGGGAAAGCCCAAGTGGTGTTAAGCTGTGGATATAGGTCAGAAAATTGACTGATGCCCCTACCACATCGTATCTTGGAGTCGTCCACCAGAAACGATACTGCACAGTTTGAGGGTGGTCGTGAAAACGATGACGTCTAAGATGCTCTGCGACCAGCGCTAAGCAACAAAAAAACGCCGAAGCTTTGACACGGCATTTCCCGAAATCCAGATTTGACAATCTCCCAGCCAGTGTTCCCTTCATCTAGAACGTTCGATGCCCTTGTAATCTTCATCCGACCCGTTCTTTACGAGAGGATACTGACTCCATGGCTTAATTTCCCCGCGGAAAGAACATCCTATCATAGAGCTGCTTCGGCTCCCCAGCTACCGGATAAGCGGATCCTCCCGTCTGTTTGGCGGAAGGTGTTGTATCTCCCATGAGCGCTGAGCCATGCGACTGGTTAGACTGGACGGCGCTGAACACGTCTGGCAAAATTGAGTACATATGTCTCCAGTTTGAGGCTGCTTATTGTTACCAACCAGTGCAAACCCGAACACCGCTCGTATCACAAGACTACTACGCGCCTTGCCATTTACATTTGGATACTTGATCAAATACTGGTATGCATAGCAACCTGAGCCTGAAGCGAAGACATAACAAAAAATGGAAGAGAGTCTCCGGTGCTTTATTGCTTGTAATGTGAGCATCGGTGGGTAGTTTAAAGACCATGACTGCAGTACGGATATCTCTGTACAATTATACGGCCTTGGATGTTTTGAGGACATTTATTTTCTTTCTCCTTGGGCCCAAAGGGCAAAGGCCCTGGATCGATTCTACGGGAACAATATGATTCAGGATTATGAAATATAGAGGCAAGTATCAAATGACGAAATCAAGCTATGTGTACTTGATACAAAATTTGAGGAACGAAGGGGAAAAAGGTAATGTATAATGCGGAAAGCACTGTGAGCGATGCGCCTATCAATGGGGCGTGATATAAGGCGCTAGCACAGTTCATGCGGAACACTCCATGCGGGGATCTCCGTTTTGACCTCAGGGTTTGGCGCGACCAACCAATGTGCGGTTACTTCGTCCACTGTGTTTTTGGACCACGCCAAGCCCATGGCAATTCGAAGTATGATTAGTTGTGGCGACAGAGCCTATTATCTGAGTTTAGTTCCAACACTTTCAATTGTAGCAAGATTAAGTACGTACACAAAAACAGCACCACACGTCCGCGAGCGCAGCCTCCGACCCGCTATTATAAACTTGGACTACCAGGTATGCCACTCCAAGAACGGTAAACGGAATGGTGGCTTCAACAATTATGGACACTACACCAGTATAGGTCTTGAGAGCTTCGTGGGACATGGTGTGTTTGTGCATCCGCGAGAATGTAACAATGCGATAGCAGATCATTCCAGTGACGACCAAATTGAATGAGGCTGTTGATGCCACCCAAAGAATATCAAGGTCGACAGCCACTCCCTTCCAGATGTTACCATTTGGCAATGCGCTGTACACAACTGTGACTGCGGAGGATGCTAGATGGATATCATGTTAGAACGTCGTTAGAAGGCCGGGATTAATACGGCTTACTAATAGTGCAGACGTATATCATGAAAGGAACAATTGTGGATCGGATATCTGTATCCCAGATAATGTAGCAACGGTGAAGCTGAAATCGATTATTGAGCTTCCGCGACAACTCCCATAGAGAATGTAATGAAAGGATTTACCATAAGACCATCTCCCATTGCGTTCGCAACAGCAGCTACCGCGCTACCGAGGACATACAACCAAGAGTTGATGTTGTCCGAAAACCAAGTGGGTGGTCCGCCAGGAACATCTCGGTATACTATCCAGAGAAGCTGTCCGAAGTACTGGTTAACTACGATGTATATGGTCATCATCAGCAGTAACACCCCGCCATAGATGATATAGAAAGTCGTCCATGCATGATAGTGTGTCTTCTTCTTGATGAAAAGGTACACGGATGTGAAGTAAATGCAAACATCGGCACCTAACTTTTACTGAGCTCCGACTCATGGTATTAGCCAACGTTGAGCAAATCGGACGTACCATATAGAATGGATATAAGAGCGTTTCCGACATAGGTGCTAACTTCTAACACGAGTTCCGTTGAATCCATCTTGCTTACTAGAAGCAAAGCCGAGACGACTCGCCTTTAAACTGCTAGAGGGGCTATCCCATGCGGTGCGTGCGAGGTGATGCGATGAAGTATCGTCCCTATGTCCAAGTGATGGTGGAGTTGAAATAACTGCCTCTGCACTAGCAAGCTGATGAAGTTCGTCCACGATACAGTTAATCCCATTGTTCGCGAGCGTCTGATAAGGGCTCATTCTCGCTGCTGTATCCAAAATCACGTTCGGACTGTGGAGTACCGATATGCGGGCGCGTCGGGTCCAAAACTAAGGTAATCTAAGAAGAAAGCAGAATAAGAAAGCAGCCACAGAAACGTTGAGTATACGCCTGTTGCGATGGGACCTCTTACTCCAGATCCAGGCACATGAAGTAGATTAAGCCCTACCAGTCGACGTCACGTTAACACCAGGGGCATTGCCTACTTTCGGATGCCTGGTAGGATCACCTGTACTGGCTTATCTTAGATAACAAACCTTGTCACTTGCAACATCAGTGACACTGTGCCGCACCATCATAAGTCCAAAACTATCTATCATGGGAGTTTGTAGTTATCGGTGATGAAATGCCATATAGCCATGTCATATTGCACCCTCATGGGCTTGCACTCACTGGCAGGAACCGGCTATCCGCGAAGTGTAATGGAACGGTGAAGAAGGATCATGCTGAAACTTCATCTCGCCAATTGAACATCTTAATGGACGATGGATCGCTTGGACTGACATCCTATGGTGTGGCGTGCCACTGGCTATCATTCGCCGCAATTCTTGGTATACAAACTCGACTTCTGCAGCCCGGATTCAACCTTTAAGAAGTTATGGTATAAAAAATGCGTATTGCACCATGGCTAGCTGAAGCGGTACCCGTTAGCTTCAGAGTCTCAGTGTAAGTACGTGTTTAAACGTTTAGGGATAAATGACAAGTGGCAGAACAACAGGACCACGCACATGGATATTACGGCCAAACCCTTGTCGCGTGTAGGAGCCCAGTAACTTCATCTCAGAGAATACATTAGAGGAAGTGTACATGTATACACGAACAATATTTATCCTAATTAGGGGCGGTCAGCTGTGTTTGTATAGACGTCTGTGGGTGATACGTCATCAACACCAGATATCGAAGGTACTCACGAGTATGGGAGCTTGTCGAGACACGGGCCATTCTCTGGCACCTGAAGCAATATATAATCACGGCGGAACCACCACAGGAGATTAGAGATGGTGTCAGCATCCTCGCCAGACGTCAAGCCTTTCTTCAAGCGCCGAGTCTCGAGACATCTTCTAGTTGCAAACCTGGCGAGAGGGACTTCTACTAAAGCAAAGGTTATTTGATTTAATTAGCGCCTCTGATTATGGATGCGTTGTGTTCAATGATGGCGCCCAGGGGGATCGCAGATGATGGTGAGTGGAGTCAGTGGACGCTGAAGCTGAAGTCGACTGGTGTCATGCATTAATCGCCCAAGTACGGCGGGCGCTAAATGAGCTCGTGGGAAACAATTGCCAGAACGCGTCAACATCTCCCGAGATCTCCCGACCGTTCGGCTGCTTTTCGGCTATTCTTCCCGCGCGTGCCAGACTCCTCTAACCAAACTCTAATGGCATCTTCAGCACCATCCGATCGAGCTAGCCCTTGTATCCTTATCATGCCTCATGCGTAGTGAACACTCAGCAAGCTCTCAATCCGACGAAGACTCAACGAGGTCGGTAGGATGGTGCATCCCGCGTCATGTTCCAAGGCGTCGATGATGCAACTGGATCCTTGGTTCATACGTTCATCGATGTTTTGCCCATGTGAGCGGTTTCTGATCATCAAATCCGTCCTTGAAACCAGAAGGTTAATTGTCAGCCTACGTCGTTCGCGCGTAGAAGGGACTCAGTGGTCATGCATGCGTATACTGCCTAGTACATCATGACTTCAACTTGGATTTGAGGTTGGACGCGTCAGTGAACGTCTTCACCGTCTCTTGATTTAGAAAAACAACTAGTGTTACAATGGGTTTTGATGCTCGGTCCGGGCCGGCGTATGTTTCGCGTCGTGTACAGCTTTTGGTGGGCTTCGTTGATATTTTTGTTATACAGGATGAAACGCGTCTCAGTTCTAAATATTGTGGGTTCACGCCATGCTCACGTGTATAAAAGCGCATGCATATGCAGCTGTTGTTCTTCAGCGCTTCAGCCCCTACTCATATTCATTTTCTGGCTCAATCAGGTGCTGGTCCGGTGAGCACAATCCCCATCGAGTCCAATCGTATACATTTACTCATGACCTTTTCTAGCCGCTTATTGTCCTTCTATACTCTCATTTAATACATTCTTAAAACTCCTAATTTACACTCGTTCCATCCTCTTATATCCTTTCAAGACACCATGAAGACCATCGCTGCTTTCGCTCCCATCGTTTCCCTGTTCTGCTCACTTCGACGAACGCTGCCCCTACACCATGCGCGCAATCAATCTTTACAGTTCTCCCATATTGATCATTGTTTGCAGTGCCTCGAGGTCTCTGAACGTCACTACGACTGGGAATACGACTGGAGCTGCCGACTCCCTTGTCGACTCCCTTGTTCAGCTTGTCAAGTCAGTTTCTCTCTCCTTGTAGACAACTGCATTGCTAACATCTTACAAAGTGCAACAATACCCCTCCTTGATGACCTCTTCGGTGCGTCGGGGAACGCATCGGGGAACGCAGCTTCCAAACGCGGTGTAGGTCAAGATGTCCAGGATGCACTTGACGGTATCCTTGATGTCATCCTAGGCGGCAACATGAAACGAGACTCCGCTGGAGGCGATATCATGCAGATTCTCGATGGACTGTTCAGTCCGCTCAAGCGCAGTGCCGAACCGGACAGTAGTTCTCTGTCCGCCCGGGGCCGCATCCCTGGTCGTCAGTTTCATCCGTGGTCAGCGGTATCAATGACGTGTACCAATGGTACGAGTCCGAGACTAACAGCGACGGAAGCAGCGCCTCGAAGCGTGACCTCTCTTCGCTCGAATCCGAGATCCGGACATTCATTGGCTCGCTCACGTCGCAGTTCAAGCGCGGTGCCAGCCAAGCGCGCCCGAAGCACGCTCAGTTCCCTGGAAACCTATCCTTAAACTCCTCCCCTATGACATGGAAGGTGGAGAATGGGTCTACAATGAGGTCGAGGGTAGCGGGAGCGATGGTGACTCCAGTGCTCGGGAAAGATTTGCTGACGACTCCACACTGTTCCATCCCGTCAGCTACATCCCCGTTAGCCCCGCTACGCACGAGCCTCTTTGGGTCAACGACACTGGCGCACTCAAACGCAGCGACATATCCTACCTCTCTCCCTCCCTCCAAAACATTATCCAGCAGCTAGGCCCCATTGAGGCCAAACTCAGCATCCCTAGCGAAGTCGTCGAGGATCTCTGGGACCTTTGGAACGAGTACCAGTCTTCCCAGTCGTCCAGCTCTGGCTCCTCCAAGCGTAGCATCTACTATGACATCATTGCTATCGTCCCTCCCGAATACCAGGATATGCCTGAGGGGAGCGGCTTCGTCAACCTAAAGCGCAGCATCTACTCCGAAGTTCTCGAAGGTCTCTGGGATGCTTGGAACACATACGAGTTGTCCACCTCCAGCGCATCTTCGACTGATGTCTACTACGTCGGCGACATTCTTTACCGTCTCTACGACTTGTACAACACGGAAGAATCTGGCTCCTCCGGCTCTAAATTCAAGTGCACCGTCATAGAGCCCATGACCATTGGGTCAGAGCGCCCGCTCGGTGGCCATGTCGAGCGTGACCTCGGCTCGGAGCTCGAGTTCAACGGCACGCACACCCTTTGCCTTCCTTCAAGCTAGGGTCGACATATCTTCCTCAGGAAGTCACTCAGACCAAATGGGCGTGCGTTAAAGGAGAGTCTTGCGGTCTCACTGATATCGTCAACCTTACCACCGTCAAGGACGGATTAAACGAGCCGGATATCATTTTAGTTACATGGGTACTGGTGTACCTACTTTGTCGTTTTGGATAGCGATGAACGTGCATTTTGTCGTTATTTTGTTGTGTCCAGATCCGCGGCGGTGATGATATGCAGTGCGTTTGGACGACGTGATGGTTCCCTCGGAACGTTCGACACCAGATAAGCACGTTAATACTGCGGTCTCTGAATAGAAATACGTAACGTGCCCACATTGATACCTAATCCAGGATAGATTTGGCGCGCTGGTGTTTATACATATAAAGCACGTCAGAGTCACGGTTGAACTACCCGCGCCTCGTATATTGCTGTCTTCCCTCTCCCGCGGTAACTACTCTCTGTAAATCTCAGCGATTCTGCTTCAACGACCTTGTCGGATGACCCGCACCGGCTTTTAGCGCCATGTCGGGTCTTTTTAGAATATTTGTAAGTTGCGCAGTCCTGGTTAGGCGCTATCCCCCCACAGCTTCACTGGTAGCTTACCCTGCAGTACAGCCATTCTCTTAAGGCGGTCACATGATATATACCAACATGCTCTTCATAGGAAGACCCACTGGATGACCTTCGTTCGGCTGCAAACCATAGACCCGCACACTTGACGTCGTCTCAGCGGCGACGTTCGTAGAGTTCTCTCCTATGGCCGCTTCCTCTCAAGTCATCTCGGGCGCCGCGGAGGTAGGAGGAATATCGTGACTGCACTCTGTGAGTCCCTCTTACCCACATCCAGTGCTGGTCGGTCTCACATTAATTTTGATAGTAGTTGCTTTAATCCTTGTCTTCGTTCTCGTTGTTTTATTCTGCACTGTGTTCCTTGCCCGCCCACCCAGCTCTACTACGCCCAACCCCAATCCACAGACCCACGTTGAAGCTCATCGCGAAACTGGTCGTTCTCGCCAAGGAACTAGCAGTAACTCTGAAGATTTCCTTCCGCAATATGAGCCGCCGCCTCCAGGCTACTGTTCCAGGGAGAACATCGAGGCTGTTGATAGGGAAGGGTATGGTTCTATGCATGCAGGCGAAGCTGGTGAGTTCTACCAGTTTTCTTTATGATCGTCTTGTGACGTATGCCTGACCGGCTAGCCATTTATCCATAAACCTTGGTGAAAATCGATTGGTGGTGTTGAGAGACGCACACAAGACGCTTGATCCCTCTTGAGAGCTCGTAGGGGAAAGTGTATAATGTCATCACACTCAACGTGAGTACTATAGTCCAGGGACCTCGGTTTTGCAATGAGCTTATGCTAAAAACAGATTAGAATTGCACAAATTATGTGTGATGTCTTTTACAATCATTGTCCAGCTGAGCTGGATGTTTCGTATTTTGCATTTTCTTCGATTTTGATTTTCTTCGCATAGACTTTCATCATGCCTCTATGAGCCCTACATCTCCATCCACTATCATCTCATCACATTTATCCGTTCATTTTAAAACACTATCTTCACCACGGTAGATCTTATTATACCCATAGCCACGTCTACACTTATATTTCGGATGGATACATTGCCCACTATTTCTTGGCGGTATTTCAGCGACTTCAGCAGCCGTATATAAGCGCCCATCTTGATAGGTGCAGGGTAAATATGCAGCGCTTCAGGGTGCTGATATGTCATAGTCTCAGCTGTGTAATCAACAATTATCGAGCTCTATCCTTCTGGTGCGTATTATGTGTGGATCGTGCAGCTGTGGGCTTCACGGCGGCTCGGGCTTATGGTGGGTTCTGCCCATTTTATCCCTACACAAGCTTCCAACCTCGTCGCTCGCAACCACTTGAAGATACTAGACCCCAGGCAACTTGTGTCTACGCCCGTTTTTGGCCTTAAGCTTGAGCCGCACTTCGGCCTGATAAACCGGACCATTCTTTCTATCTGTCGACCTGTTTCTACATAAGCTGGCATTTGTGTTTTCTTTATTGTGAACTAGTTCACACGCCCGCTACATAGTGTCAGACATGTGGAGCGTGGTTCACTTTGGAGCAACAGAACGACAGCCGATATAATCTTTAATGGACCTTTGGTCTTATATTACTTCAACTCGCGGATTGGCAGCATGCATACCTACATTTGAGCTACATATATTTGTGATAAATATAAGAAATGTTATAGGTATATGCTCTGGCTGCGTCACCTCGGGCTTTGGTCGGGCTTCATCGCCTTCAGTATATTCACCGTTTCTGGAAGTTCCCGGACTCTCTTCCAAATTCGTTGTGAACAAGAAAGGAAACCATGGTACTGCCTCCCTCTTGGGTCTCTCTCGCTGTACGCACTTAAAATACGTCCCCCACTGCCAAACGGGCCTTCCTCCCCCATGTATTTTCCGACACTATTCTCCCTCCTTGTGTCCCGCTCAGGCAAAGTTTAACCACATTCCTCGTACTATGTCCCCTTCCACTTTCATCTACGTCTCAGAAGAGGAAAAGCAAGACACTGCTACTGCCGGTAAGGCCATCGCGGCAATTGGTGTGTGTCGAGTTGGCTGTCGCCGACGAGAGCGTGCCATAGCTAACATCATGTTCAACTCCTTGGCCAGCAATCCTCGCCCTCGTGATCATCTTAGTCCTATACTTTGCCAGGGTGTTCACCGGTCGTCCGAGCATTCTTTGCAGGCTCCCTGCCACAAGCGATGCCTGCCTATCCTTCCTCCACACCCAGTCCTCCGTGGAGCTGCACACCGAAGGACCGAAGCCTGGATTAACTCTTGCAGCTCGCAGCTTTCCCCTCGTGGCTGCACCAGGTGCAGTCGTGCATGCTCCTCGTTGCGCAGCTACTGTGCCCCCGTACGGCCTGGACCTGTGTGATCCCAAGCTCTCCCCGGATTACGGAGCGGAAGTTGCTCGGTCCGCTTCGATCGGATCTCCATCTGGTAGGCTACAATCAGTCACGTGGTTGACGTCACTCATCGCAGCTTAAATTAGGGTCGACTACCTTTAGGTCTTCCGGCGGCAGCGACGTCGCTTTGTCTCCGATTTCAATGGCCGCGACCCCCGTTCAATACCCCGCGAACGGTGAGATCACTATTCCGTCACAGTAAAATTCTAAAGCCCGTTTGCAGTGTATCACGCCGCCACCTCCCGCGCTGTCTAAACCAGTTGCAGGCGACTCTGCGCGTCGACCATCAAATGGATACCCCGATATCCCTAGATCTTCTTGAGAGCCTATAACCGATCCGTGTTGCGCAATTATCACTCCCTCTGCCGTTCAGGCATCTTCATGCTCACGATTCCTTTTTGGACCTTATCTGAGGGTGTACACCTCGATCTGAACTTTTATGTAATGTTACCATTCACTGCTGTTGCTTTGTAACGTCCCATTCGCGCCGAGTCACTCGCTAGATGCACCCAACACATGCTATACACTGTACATACTATGCTGTGTGCTTACGCACCAATACCTTAGTATACTTACAGCGTCAGTTAAACCGGTTACTCGAATGCTTGGCTTGAAGATTACTTCAACTCGAGAGTTTTCTCTCGGTCTTCATGGACTCGATGGCCATGTAACAGATGTGCCAGACAGTTCGAACAGGCTCCCGACAAAGCGATGTGCCGAAGTTATGCCAAGAGATGGATACTAGACCATATCTCCGTGCAACATGGCCCTTCCCGAGCTCGCTGCCCATGACGTGGCGAAAACCGTTACTTTCCCGAAATTTCTGGCGAATGTTCCGTCTGCCGAGGAGCTGTCGAAATATCTGAGGATAAGATCATGCTTGACAAGTGCCCCAAATGTGGCGCCCATCTCTGTTTCCTTTTGTGTCCCACTCGAGCGGCCGCGCTAGTAAATGTGTAGTTCCGCACTGATTACTGAATATTCGCACAGAAAACAGATGAAAATGTGGGCAGGATGCTGTGGAAGGTTTCGTGAGACCTAACGCAACCCCGGTTCGGAACTCGAAGTTGTCATCTTCTATGTTATTGTTAAGCTCAAAGTAGGCTACATTCTGGATCACACCAAGGGTTTCCAGCAGAAGAAGAGCTCTGTAACACCACCGCTTCTGCGCTCTGAGTCTGAGGATCTGATGAACAGGTCGAACGACTACTCACAGACTGAAAGAGTAGGAGTTCAGCGCTACTTGTTATGCCGGGTAATAATTCATTCATCAGGCTGCGCGCTACATAATATCACAAGTGTGATAATGAGTCGTGTATCACCCTCTGCATCAATGCCAAAATTCTGTTCCTTAATTGTCCAGGGGCCATGCTTGCACAAACCTGCACAAACAGGGGCGCCCGATATACAAATAAAGACGTCCGCCAACAACCACGTGGAGCGGATGCAGATGAGGACCAGGCGCAAAGTGGTTTCCACTTAGGGAAAAACAGCTAGAAGATTCCGAGCTGACCCATTGACACCCGTCCAGATCGTCAGGCCCATGGTCCCCATTGCGCAACTCGTACTGTGCAGGCGACGAGGTCCGCGGCTCTGCTCTCGAGCAGTGATAGGTTCATCCTGCTGCTCACCATTATTTCCTCCGGGGTGACCTCTCATCAGCCTTGACTCGCCAACAAAGTCAAGACACCTCTGATTACACTGAAGGCTTCCTTGCAAAGGCGGTGCGCTCTCTAATCGAACTTTCCATGAATCTTCAAGTTGCTGTAAAGACAGGGCCAGTTACCACAGCACGTTCATTTCAATGTGCTAGACCATAAGTCTTAAATATGGCATACTCTGGATACCACACTACCGCTTCGCTCTTCCTGAGTTGAACCTTGTCCTCTCTATGTTCGCAGTTACCTCATTCACTGCGATTATCACATCTCTCCTCACCATACACATAGCCATGGCACTCCCTTCCGGCGGCTTCAATGGTGCTTCGGAGGTCGGAGAAATCATCGCGGCTGTCTGTGAGTAGTCGCCATGTTGAACTATCCCACATTCACGTTTAATTCATATGAATAGTGGCCTTCCTCTTCATCGTTGTCCTGATCATCCTCCTCTCCAAAAGCCCCTTCGCCCGTACCCCAGTCACTGCTTCCCCGAACTTAATTCTTGCTGCACCAGCGCATTTCACACCTCCCAGGGCCGGTGCACGTGTTCGTGAAGAATCGGGCACTGGGTCCGAGGAATACCTTCCACAATACGAGGCAGCGCCACCTCATTATTGTTCTACGACAGACGTCAGCACGGCTGACACGGAAGGATGTAGCACCATGATGTCGCCAGTCACGACTGCCGGTAAGTCCTACCGCACTCTTAAATGAAAATTGAGTAGCCGACGGATGAAACGCTGCCATGTGCAGATGTGGGGCAACCTGATTCAAGGCCCCCACATGAATCTCGCGGATCTCTGTCTTCCTTAGAGCCTCAGGCACCTGCGGAGGACGTACAGTATCCACCGGCAGGTAAGAGATACTTCTATGTGACCGTATTTTGATAAGTATCTTACGACGAAAAAAGCTCGTGTGCGTCATTGAATATAGCGGCAAGGTTAGGATTGCAACGAAAAAAAAACACTCAATGAAACGTCTAGTTTTCAAGTTCCGGGGTGCTGGAATACGCCCTCAACGCTAATCAATTCATATTTCTCATTCATTAAAACACTTTACAGTACCAAACTTAGATCACACCATAGCATTTCAACTAGTAGAATGTTCGCTCGCAACGCATAATCGCATATTTTTAAGCCCCTTGACCTTTGTTCTCTTGATAATGCTTGACTACGGCAGTACTTAAAAGGTGACCTCGCTCAGGGTTCGGACAGCAGCCAGAATCCAAAAACACGTTGAAGGCATGCATATCCGCCGGCTGTGTGAAACGATGAACGACTGCTCTCGCTGGTTGGGGTTGAAACGTTTTGGGGTAGTGGCGCAAGCGTCAGTTGGAAATGCTTCCATTCATCGCCATGTGACCGCTGGCCGCAGTATCAAACCGCCCGCTGAGTAGCTAGATAGCCGAGTCGGAGTACTTGGTACAGGTAATCGACGCCCAATCCTATGCTGCTTTCCCTTACTGATTTTCGCGGTCTTGGTTTGTTACTTTATAGCGCTGCCAGACCCGGCTCTTCACCGTCTCGGATGAGAGTATAACAGGAGGGGAATATCATTAATGAGGGAATTGAGAATATCCGTCATGTTTTATCCTTCCGAAGCAAACACAGACACATTGGAGCTAGACACATCTTCTAAATGCCACTATTTTACCTTCAAAGACCAAGTCATGTGTACTAGACGTTCACCAGATCACCCAACTACAATGGTGCGTTAAATCCCCCTGTGAGACAGCTCTCTGATAGCTTCCTGAGATGAGAATACCAGGTCCCAAAAATCGCCGTCTTCGTAGTCTTCCACGGGCTCCACATCGTCTATATCACGTCGAGAACATATACGAGGTACAAGGCCGAGCATGAGCCTAGCAACGTCTTCTGCGACGGCGCAAAGTGCCGATCGGAGCTCGGCGCTGCAGGTCAACCTATCCGGGAGAACGCCAGGTGTAAGGACGCAGTAGCCGTGAAGAAGGTGAGGTCTGAGAGCGAAATGATTGCAGCAACGGAGACCTCGGTTGCGACGGGGAGAGAACGTATGAGGTCGACGAGGGCGGAGAACGTGATAGGGTGTTGGAGGGGATTGACATGCAGGGTCTCTAAGCGTGGCCAACGAGGGGCTAGTTCGAGCAGCTGATCGGTAGACAGTGTCATTGGAGTGTAAGGAGTCTCGAGATAGATGTCGGCGAGGTTGTTGAATGATGACAGGGAGGTGAGTGTCTCGTAAAGGTTGAAGGGAGTTTTATCTTCTTCTTCCTCTTGGAAGAGTCCCTGGCCCGACATCTCGATAGATGAAAGGTCGTCAGAGCACGTACGCTGGAGAACTGTGGCAAAGGCGTGGAATGAAGTGGGATCTAGGGTTGAGCAATGAATGCTTGTGAGCCCGACATGCCAACTGGATGAACGAGAAGGGCGTGGGTCAGAAAGAAGACGCTCAAGGACTCGCACAGCTGTGGTACCACAATCTGTCGATATCCTCAACGTCTTCAAGCTCCGCAATAACGCAGTACACGTCGAGTTTATCCAGTGGGAGGACTGAGCCGCGTACACGGCCAGCGTGTGAAGATGAGGGAGATCGCTGAGGTGGGTGATGACGTTATCATCCAAGGGTCCACAATTAACGGAGCAAAGGTTCTTCCAGGACTTCAAGGTCTCCGACATAGCAAGGGACGCATCTGGGTAAGTGGTTCGGGAGGGTAGCTGGATGTTCTGCATTAAAGGGCTGGTGATAGCAAGCTTTGGGGCGTAAGTGAGAAAGGCGTCTTGGCGGCGGTTTCTATCCTCTACTCTGAGATGTATGAGTTGGGGACCAAGAAGGGTGGAAGCCACTAGTGCATAGTGAGCCCCTTCAACCACGTGTACGTCGAGCGAGCGCAATTTAGGAAAGAGGACTGGGATTGGACCCTGACGAAGTGCATCGCAGGCTTCGTTTGAGAGGAATATCCGTGAGCGGCATACCTCTCCCCTGAAGTTTTCTTTGAGGGTGATAATCCGCGCAGTGTATGAAACCAAGACGTTCCAGTCTCTTTTTGTCAACTGACGAGTGAGCACCTGGCAAGCGACATGTTTGCACGGGGCATCGTCACTCTTTAGTTAGAACTGGACTTACTAATTTCCGATTCGCGCCAAAACTGTGCGTTGGATCCACCTTCAAAACCCATAGATCTCGAGGCAAACACCCAATAAAGCTCGCGAGACAGTCGATATGCGCATAAAGGGCGTCAAGCGCAGGCTCTTTGAAAGACTTGTTGACTCTGGCAAGATTGGAAAGGCTTGATTTGTCTTCAACGAAAGAGGCGACCAGGCTTTGTAGCTCTGCTACTTGCAAAGCGGGATGCATCGGAGTGGACAGGAGCAGCTGAGATACACTGGGCTCAGTGGCTATGCTCTTAGTAGACTCTAGAACATGGGAATATTTGTGCGCCGACACGTGTTCAACACAGCCACTTGCCATCTTGTCGCCGTTCGTCTCTGTGGACTTTCAGAAGATGTATACCCTTACAGGAGTCACTACTCCAAGATCTAGAGGCGGAGTATCATCCAAGGCGCTGAAGGGCAAAGGTTCATCGTGACAGGTAGGGATTTGAGTGCCACCATACGATGTTCTCGAGGCCTAATCACGCTTGTGCAGTATACGGGCCATACTGATAGACTATAGTGAGATGGCCAGGACACAGGAAAAGGGTGCATGTGTGTGGAAGTCGATGATGAGTAGGTGCAAAGCTGGATATTATACTGTAAGAATGGACTGGAGTATCACGGTACGCCTTCTTGTTCCCTCTATCTCCTTGGATGCATCCTTCTGACAAAATCTCCTCTTGCTACCAGCGATACCTATATTTGATCACAACATACTCCTGCTTCCGACATATACCCTACTCCCTGCCCATACTGTGCGCTGTGCGTACTGAAGTCCCAGTCATCCGAACGAGATTCCCGCTATCGCTCCCTCAGACGACGAACGGTCAGGTGTTGCGGGCTCATCCGCTCTCGGCGCGCCAGCGGGGAGCTTGGGTGTCATAGCCGGCACGAACATCGCTCCCGTTAGGTACACATCCGGGATGGAAGGCAGCGGACTAAGTAGGGTGACTCCGATGTGCCCCGCGAAAGGAAACGACGCGACGGACATGGCGGATGGACTCAATGGTCGATATATAGAGTGCATCGCCGGCATCTTCACGGCGCTAGGGGGAAATCGTATCTGACGTTGCGCTTGTTGTGAACGTCAACACTGGTGGAGGAATATGGATGGAGTTGACGAGGTCGGTTCGGGCTGACGGAGGTCGGAGAGCCGAAACGGTCGAAATGTTGACAGTCGATGGAGGGGTGTCTGGTGCGTTCCCTACTTTGTATTGCTGCTTCTCGCTGGAACTTATGGTTTTCGCCAGGCCCTCATTACGTGCATACATGTGCATATAGGCGCTATTCTACGTTGAAGCTATTTCCCGCGTCGCACTCGTATAGGGTATTGTCGCGTCGCGTCCATTTCACGCATGTATCAGCACGCGAGAATACATGGCTCGCTAAAGGGATGGCGAAACCAACTTCTACGAACCCACATGATCGGAGTGCATGTCAGGATCGACAGCGCTCAGTATCGCTTCTGGATAGATTGGAGGCGAAGTGTTCTACCTTCGTCATTACGGTAGAAGAGCTGTGGCTGTCATAGAACGAAGAGGGACTCAAACTCTTCCTAGCCTGCATGCGATGTAGCCGCTTTGCAGCTTTATTCCTCGATCTTCGAGCTCTGATCAGATCAATCGCGGGTGGTGGTCGGACAGGCGTTCGAACACTGAGAATGAGTTTGTGGGCATGCAAACGAGTACGTCCCGTCGACGCGTAACTTTCGGCGCCTTCGCCGCAGGCTGAGGGCGGCGACGTTTCTCACTAGCACCGAGATGCCAGACGAAGCCAAGTCTGATATCGAGGCCGCCCTGAGAACAGGTCACCATGTGATCGCGTTTATAAACAGACCTTCTCGCGTTCCGCACATCCTCTTCCTCTTCCTCGTGCCTAAGCTGAAGACTTCGGCATCCATCGACCCTTTACGGCGCCTTCGGACGCGTGGCCATTTTCCTGTGAGCTCGAGTAGCTTAGGGTGCTAAAGATATTAAGCACACGCTCGCCCGCTTCGCTAGAGTCTGCGTATCGTAACCCCATTTCCGATGTGTTTTACTAACCCCTGTCATCAGCTCGCGCACTATGCCATGGGATGCTTGGATTGATCACCATTAGAGAAGTAGTCAACGAAGTTCCCATCTCTCAACGACCTGGTCTCCTTCGCAGTCCCCGACGCAAGCTTCGTTGCTCAAAGCTGCACCGCGCTTGCGCCTGCCTACTCCAAGTTAAATGCATCCTACTATTCCTCTCTGACGTGGTCCGCGACGGTATCTGCACATTCCAGGCGTTGATATTGATATATTGAGGTTCTACTCACCAAGGTGCCTTGTAGCGCGAAACCCGGCGCGTCAGGTCGCTGCTGAGCTTGCTCGGCAAGTCGGTCCGTTGTGTTGAATTTTCCCACGCTGAAAGCGAACCCGCTCAAGGACGTGACGGTGGGTCATCTCTTTATCCTTTATCGCTCTCCTCCTCCGCGACACCCCCCATGCATTCACTCGCACAAGTACGCATAAACACACTCATGTATAAAGCATTCTATCCTCGCGTCTCTATCTCGTCCTTGCCAACAGAAACTCTACTCACTATCTTCAAGCTCGTCCACAAGGCCGTGCATCCGTCTCGCTCATCGCACGCATTCCTCGATTTCCACAGCCCTGCTACGTTTCCTTACTCGTGTGCTGGCGTATGTTGCATGTGGCTCGATGTGCTGGCTATGGATAGGCGCTTCTGGGCACGGATCATCATCCACATCGATGCCCCATACGTCACCCGCCATGTCGTCAATACCTTCCTTGCCACCTTGCGCATGCGTACCATAGAGATCTACGTGTGCTATCGCGGCGCTCCTCTGATGGACCCTGACATCGAAAACAGGCGCATTCTAACAGCCATGGAATGCATCAGGCCTCATCTTTCTCGGTGCTCCAACTTCACTCTGAAAGGTCTCTACCGCTCGTCTACAGTTCTCGCTAGCCGCTTCTTTGATGGTGTATCAGCACCTGAAATGAACAAGCTCACGTCTATCTCCGTTATCACGGATACCGATGAACCAGCCCAAATAACTACGTTCTACTGCCCTAAGATGTCTCAACTAGAAGTAGACGCGCGGAGTCTCGCTGACTTCGTTCTTGCCATCGATGGACGCAAGGAGGGGGAATCACGCTCCCTGGCCCCAGTCGCTTGTCGATATCGCCCTCCTGAAATCATGGATGCCCTTTCTCCTAAACGTTTCGGTGACGCTCTCATAGCCGGATTGTCTTAGACATAACAAGAGACGCCTCTAAGCTGGGACGACAGTGCGGGTGATCTGATTGAGGACAATTTATTGCCTGGATTCGAGTACACTCAATGGCAAGCTTTGGGGCGCCCAAGATAAAATTAAGGCGAGCTATGACAATTTCATTTATACGAGACGAAATACACGAGCAATGAGAATGGTGTATACAATTACAAAAGGTCAAGTACTAATATGGGCCTCGATAGAAAGGAACGGGTTGCTCGTCAGGATGTGCTGGACATCTCTTGCACGCAGAGTCGTGGCACCCAGAAGGAGTCAGTTTCCATTCGAAGTTGCAGGATTGCCCATCTCTGCGTCGGCCTATGCACCTAACGTATCCATGAGCTGAGTCCGGATGTCTGCACTTTCGGCAGCTTCCTTTTAATTCAGTTGGTGGGATCATCCTGAATACTTTTTAATTGGTACAATGTAGCATCCAATGAAGTCAAAGTGCTTACACTTCCAAGTTTAAGGGAAGAATGTGATTTACAGGTAGTGGGTTCGGTAGGCGGGTCAGGAGAGGTGTATGCGAAAATGCAGGTGACCAAAGATGGAGTATGACTATGTACAGTATATCGAGGCGACTTATATACTGTGAGTCAGAGATTGAATGAGGCATGCCTCTTTGCATAGGAGGAAATATGGCTATACGTTGTGAATAAATTAAACGCTACGATACAGCATGCAGGTGGCGCACTAGCACTTTCCAAGATCTATCGCTCGCAATCTTCAATATAATGACTGCTTCCAGTGGCGAAGATTATTGGCACATCTTCTAAAAGTCGGCAGGATAGGGTGGTGGCGTCCTGCCAAGCAATACCAATGTGAGTATCCGTCAGGACGCCAGCTTTTTGCCACGCACAAATGCTGCAAGATTGATCCACTACTGCTGTTTGACACCAACGTTGTGGCGTCTCCGCACCCAAAAGCAGAGGGCTCTTTCGCGAGTCGGACGAGCGCAAGCTGTGCTCGACTGGCGTCCTACAATCTAACTCGCAGATTCCCATAGCGTGATGTCTATGTCCTCGCCACTCTCACCCATGCTACGAGGGCGTCCATGCTATAAAAGCATGCAGAAATGAGAGAGCTGTCCTTCTCATCAGCAGTATTAGCTTTTAGAACCTCCCTTCTTCGTCTCGTTCCTTCCAAACATCTCCTTGCCCATCTCAGACGCATCAGCTCCACCCCCATCTCTACACATATCATATTAGCAATTTCATACGTACGCATTGCTTCCCCACTCTATCCAGCTCTTAAATTACTAATGATCCACTTACTGCCCTCTACACTTTCACTTGATCTTTTATTGGTGATGATGCAGCCTCCCACTCGGTCACCATGTACAGAAGCGGGCTTACCGGAATCTGCGGAAACTGCAACCTTGCAAACAACGAACATCAACAGGGCATTTGCAAAGGAGGGCAGCGCGTCCGAGTCCCTAATACGAAGCCGGTTCGGTACGAGTGGGTGCCATGTAGCTTCGTCTACCTGTTCAAGCGCACCGGCGGACGCCGAGTCTGCCAGGAGTGTCCCACACATATGCGCGGAGGCTGCCCTTTCCCGGAGGCGTACTCCAATTCTGATAGCGAGTGAGGGGCCTTGTTGCCCTCGCTTCCGTACTTTCTTCTCTATACCTATGTAGTATCCCTTATGTGTATTACCATTAAACTGTTGTTCGATGACAGCGGAGGACAATCCTAGTGCTGTCTGTGGGAACCTCTCAGATGTATTCTCTTAGTAGTTACTTTGCATGACCGGCTAAGTGTTCTGGATTTACGAAGGACCTACATATTGTCTCAAATGATGAAGTAGCAAAAGGCAGGACGACTACATTGGATCGAGGCACAGTATCGCGATGAAATGAAATGTGGTGGCGGTTGGTGGGCCCCTGGCGCCATCTGGACATGAAACCTAGAAATGAGTTATGAGTGAACACCTATTGCTTCATCTTCAGGTCTCGCAGATGACTGTTCTCACTTCGCTCACTGGCTGATAGGACATGAACCAGCTTCTCACAATCCGCAAACGGGTTTAATATGACTGTTGTTGTGCATAGGTATAGTGTACGAGACGCCGAGACAAGGGTATCAGCCAAAAGTCCAGGCATGAGAGGAAATTTATACAAAGTCATGTGTTCCATGGCTTAGTCCACTCGTCAACGTCAAAGTCTCCCGTCTTGTCTGCGTCTGTTCCCCTCCAATCTGCCATATGCAACAGCATCTGTTTAGTAGCAATCCGGTTCGTGATGCTGGTTACACGCGTCGGGAATCTGGGAGGTATATCGTCATCAAATTCCTGTTGAACTCTTGGAGAGCATGAAACGGATCCCTCCCAAACCAAACAGCGATATCCAAGTCGCAGAGAGGCGTTGCGCTCTACAACCTGTTGGACAACAGCCGAACTTGCTGACAGGATGGAATTACCAATCGGTTTACAGTCAGTCCCAACGGGGACAAAGATCTTTCCCGTAACGCTGTTCAACGTCGACATGAAGAGAATAGGCATCTCTTCTTCCCTGAGGATGACAGATCTACCGTTTTCCGCGTCATACTTAAGACCGACTCGAACGTCACGAAATAATGTAGAAGTGAGGTAGCCTTGGGGTATCCCCGTCCACGCTGCAAGTGCCAAGTTGGAGCACTGTTCATCGGCGATGAGCCTTATCCGTTGCGATAAACCGGTAACACCGGCGGCTATCCACCACCACGCCGCTTGCGGCGACCGCAGGCAACCTATCACAGTCCCCGCACCAGACGAATCGGGCCACCTTCGTGATGCAGCCATAGCCCACTCCTCAGCCGAAGTGCAGCTGACTTCGGGGTTGTAAAGGGCGTTGCGCAAGATAAGGAAGGGGTCTGTTGCACTTATTGTCATCAGCCGCGGAACAGATGAAAGAGTTCTGGTTGTACGGCCTTCTCCGGACCTCAGCTGCCGCATCGTGTCCGCCGTGTGGCACGGGTAGGGAAGCCTGTACGGGCAGTTACGCCTCAGGTGAGAAGGAACGAGAAGTGCAGCGAGCAGAGCCATTTCAGCCTGTTCTTCCAAGCCGTAAGCTGAAACGTAGCTTTCCAGAAACGAGTATGCTCTAGCCGAATCGGGAGCAACCGGCAACCCGTGGAGGGGTGTAGGTACCTCGATGTAGAACGATGGAGCTGTACCCTTTGGTCGAATGGACCAGGGCGAGTGGAAAGTGTTATCGAAGCGTTGGATGCTAGCCACCCAGCCTACTTTCGGGGCTAAGACGTGGGACCACCAGACTGCTGCCTCTGGGTCGTGAGTGCGGACGCGATGGTGATCATTCCCCCTCAATTCGACGCTCGTTGCTAAGCCGATTGGCGCAGCCGACGCGAATAGAATAGATCCGCCCTGAGTCTCCGACCAATGGGCGGAAAGAATATAAGACCACGCGAGGGTCAGCATGGCGAGGTGGTTGTCGCATATAGGAATCTGTACTGTAGGGCAATCTTCACTGGCACCCCGATGAGCAGCATCGAGCGTGCGCACACCGGATAGCACAGCGGGAGTGGGGGCTGGCATATCATTATCAAACGTGGAGAAAACGGCGGCCTCTTTCGTCACGCCGAGCATGAGGTACTGATCGGATTGGACGACAGGAGGAGCGATGCCGGCCACGGTGGACTCAATGCACCACACAGCAGCACAATCTGCTTCGATGAAATCGGATTGGTCGAGGGGAAGGACTGGGTGAAGGTAGCCTTTGAGGTATTGACTAAAGGCGGGGACGTGCGCGACTTCGATAGGTGGACCGAGGAAGAGGTGGGGTTGTAGCTGATTAGCCGTAAGACACAGACCTTCCCAGTACTTCAGGTATTGCTGATACAGAGCTTCGTTGTGCATATCCTGGAAAGGCAGCGGTTTTGCCGGTTGCTCGTCGGGCATGGTTCAGGGGCAAGTTCAGGGGACCTGTGCCCAGTGTCAGCTGCATTAGACTATGCCGGTCGGAGAGAGCATACCCAAGTTTCCTAGTATCCACTCAATTCGATGGAATAGATGCTCTGTACGCGTGCAGGGAGGACAAGAAAATAAAGAACGGGGACGCCACGAAAGAGCAACTAGGCGGAGTTTTGATTGAATTGCACAGCAAGAAACAGCAAGCTCGAGCGGTCCGGTGAAAACCGATGGGCTACGTAATAGAGCACAGCCACATGTCGTTCCACCGCGTCGCGTCTCTGAGTCTCACAATTGACCTTTCCATCACCACCAACCAGGCTTCATCTCATCGTCTTTTGCTATGGATACGTGTTTGGGTATAGCAGAACTTCAAGCACTCATCATCAGCTGCATCGACCACAAACCTACGCTTGCTGCATTGGCCAGAGTGTGCACAGGTTCAAAGACCCCGCCCTCGACGCGCTCTACGCGCGCATCCATCCCTTTACTCAGTTTCTTAGGTGTTTGCCCTCAGACCTATGGGCCATAGAGGAGAGGGGAAACCGCCAAAGTGAGCTAGTACGTGACAGTTCTCTGACCGTCGTCCCATTTCTTGAACCTCGTTATGCGTTAGACTGTCACGCGTCGAATGTCATCAAGAGATTGGGAAGGCCTGCAATCATACGCTCGCCGGGTAATCAGCGTTAAAGAGACATTGAGTTACGAGTCTGGCACTCCCCCCTTGAAACTCTCTGACCTGGTGCGCTATAACAACAGCCACAAATGGGAAGCATCTCCGACGAAGTTTTGAGCGGAGTCTAGAGCCGTTTATGCGTTAACTAGCCCTCGCTCGGTAGAGGTGGCATATGTTGGCACACATATAAGGTACCCCATTGTGATGATCAGGTAAAACTAGAAAATAATGAAGAAACATTGCAACCTCCCAGGGGCAAGTTTTGCCGCAGAACTGACTTGTAAAGAGGTTCATGAAGCCCGTAAAAATCGCGTCAAGATATTACCAGAGGAAATAGCAGCTCTACCGGTGATGGTATATTTACTTGAATATCTTCTTCACACAGATCCCTTCGCCTGCACCACAATAACACTGCTGGAACGGCTGAGAGAATCTGTTAATTGACTGCTTTACGAGTCGGAGGGCTAACTCACATTCCCAGGCTCATCCAGCTCTTCTGCGTGGTCTTTCTTGTACTCCTCTATATCGCCCAGGTACGAAAAGCAGAGCTCTTCATAAGCTTCCACCTCCCTGTTTGTGAATAGCACCAATAAAGGTTTCTGGAGGTTTCCCTCATTGATATAGCATGGGGTGATGTTACAGTTAGGATCACAGCTGTGATTCTTGGGTCTGTTGTCAGTTAAAATGATTCTCGGTGGTCTGTAATCCTTACCATGAACCGAGTGAACTACATATGATAACAATGAATATCACGTTTATTGATTTTGGTTCGGATAGAAGACTTACATTGCCAGCATGGAATGCATCCACAGTGTAATCATGCTCTGACCGATCAATATACCAGAAATCGACATCAAAAAGGTATGTTCGACCATTCTCGTCGTAAATCCTGAAGAAGGGTTAGCAGGCGAGACACAGTGCGACAGGGGAAAATGCGACTTACGTTCCCCGCTCTTCACACTCGGCACTTGTCAATAGTTCACCAGCATAAATGCCGATGAATGCTCCCTTGGGAATGCGTCTCGGGCCAGCAAATACACCTTTAGGAAGTGAAAGAAATGAAAAGGAGTCAGCCCACTGTACAGGATGCTTCAGCATTGAAAATTACACACCCCAGCCTTTGTTCTCAGTGCGAACAATGTTGACAATGTGTTTTCGACCAGATTGCACCACCTATTTGTCTTATTGTCAGCAACTGATTCGAGTCTTTGCCATACTGCTTTGCGCAGCTAAACCGACGTACGCGGTTCGGACAGTCATCGTCGCATCCGCAAAACTCATTGCACTCGAAAATGGGATATTCCTGGATATGCAGCAGCCCCTTGTTGTCATACAAGAACGGCGCGCCCGGCCAGCGCATCTCGTCCGTGACCCCGCCGAGCTTCTTCGTGAACGCCCACTGGCGCTTCGCGCACGCGCACGCCGTGTCCCGCGGGTCGCACTTGCCGACGCACCCGCAGCTGAGCATGTTGCGGCGGTCGGGTGCCGGCACGCCCTCGCCGTGCCACATCTCGTTCGTGTACACGAACTCCCACGGTGGCGTGCTCTCCGTCCCGATGTCGTTGTCGAACACCTCGATCGGGGGCACGTCGTGCGCGCGCGCGCCGTTGCTAGAGAACCCAGAGGGAGCGGCGTTCATGACGGCCTCGAAGATCTCGCGCCCGGCGTCGCCGCGCTGGAAGTCGACCGTGGTCTTGAGCATCTGCTCCTTGAGCGAGGTGTCGAGGTCGCAGTTGCGGCGGTACTCGGGCGGGAGCAGCCGCCGGGAGCTGACGAGCGATTTCCAGGTGATGACCGGGAGCCCGGCGATGTTCTCGGGCTCCTCGTCGCTCGAGGGCGGGGAGGAGATGCGCCTGGCCACAAGGGCATCATCGATTTCACTGTCGTGGATTTTGAAGATGTCGGATGGTCCCTCGGAGGGCCCGATGCTCGAGTCCTCGCTATGAACGGATGGCATACGGAATGGCTCCACGTAGCGGCGCTGGCGAAGCGAACGGCGAGGGCGGCGTGGCGTCGGGTTGTCCAGATCCATATCATTGTCCTCATCGCCAGAAGCGGAAGTACCATCTTCATTTTCCGAACCCGGCTAAGAGTTTTTTAAACAATCGTCAGCACGCTATGTCCACATGGGCACTAAAAAGAACATACCGCTTCCTCGCCGGAGCTCGTCTCCTCAACAACCGTGCGACCCACCTCATCCTCGGAGTCCGACAAGACAATAACGGCCCGTTGTTTCCCCTTTGCCATCCTCGACAGCGACGACGCAATCACATCGTCACTTTCGTCGTCCGCTTCTGCCGACTGTCCCCTTGAATCCGGCCCCCGTTCTTGCGGCATACGGCCCGTGTGCGAAGCCGACAATCCATTGTCCACCATCTACATGTAAAAGATGAGATCGCATATATGCAACCCCGCGCAAGTGTAAATAAAAAGGGGTGATCAGACCAGTACAGGTGTATCGTGAGATAAAAAGCCGACCTCGTGTCCCTGTCCTTGACTGCGGCTGATCTCGCCGAGCGCGTCTCCAACGTCGTCCAGCTGGAACATTTCCGGTGTTGAGATCAACGTTGTCGGCGCCATGCCTACCGCAGGCGGAAACGTGGCCGACGTTGGCGTGGGTATCCCCCGGTCCGAGTCGACCTGGACCTGCGAGATCTCCTTCCTCACCTCCTCCACCGCCATCTCCGTCTCTATTTCCATTTCCTCTTGCTGTGCGATGCTGGCCAATTCCTTCCCCTTCCCTTTACCATTGTCCTTGTTGAAAACAGGCGGAGCCACCTTCTCGCCGCCCGACTCGCTCGACGACGTCTCACCCACCCTCTCCGGCTCGAACTGCACACTCTTCTTCGACGACGACGCCATCGACGAAGACGAAGGCGGCTTCAACGAAGGCTGAGCCCTCCGCGGCGACGGCACGATAAACGCACTGAACCGCTCCGAACTCGACCTCGGGCCCCGAGAACGCGCGAGCGACGGCGACAACTGCATCTTCGAACCCGACGCCGTAGACGACCCACCAGAGCCAGGCGTCGCAGGCATCTCGGGCGACAACGACGCTGAAGCCGGCGCAGACGCAGACGCGGGATGACCAAGTGTAACCCGGCGCTTGCCCTCCGCAACAGGCGTGATCATCGTCTTGAACGCGTCCGACGCGCTCTTCTTCGTGATCCCGCCCGACGAGCGCCGTCTGTGCGCCACAGGCGTCGCGGGCGGCGGCATATGCGCCGGGGCCTTGCCCTTGCCCTTGCTCGACCGCGAGCCCAGAGCAGATCCAGACGCATCGCTGTCGCTGCCGAGCAACGTCAGATCCACCGTGCGCTCGATGCGATACTGCTTGTGCACGTTGTTGAGCGCCGCGGCGAGATCCATCTGGTGCATACCCTGTGGTTTATGCTGAGATGCCGCGGGAGGGCGCGTTGCGGACGCAGACGCGGAGCTCGAGCTCGCGGTAGCAGAGCTCGCGATCGAAGCTCTAAGAGCGTTCGCCTGGGTCTGAGCCTTGTGAATAGAGTTGAACATGCTCGCGACATCGGCGTGCTCCACGCCTGACGCTGGAGCCGGAGTGCTCGCCGGCTGGGATTGAGAGCCCGAAGTCCTATGGAAGACACCGCGGTCACTGGATACCGGCGCGGGCTGGAAAGCGGATGACTTGGTTTTACTTTGGGACACGGGTCTGCTTGATAAAGTGGGCTTGTCCTGTACCTGAGACACCGGCTGACTCTGCGACGCCACCACCGGCGACCCCACACCCGAGCTCGGCTTGGAAAACGACAGCGGCCTCGGCGGCCGCACGACCGCCCGTCCCGTCGCCGACAGTGGCCCGGGAGAACCTGCCGAAGCCAAAGCCGAAGCCGGCTTCACAGGCGCCACCGAAAGCGACGGGCGCACAGGCGCTTTCGCTTTCGCAGACGACGAATTCTCGGGCAGCGTCGCGATGCCAGGTAACGATAACGACGACGGCGACTCCATGTGCTCCTCCATGGCGAAGTCAGAGTGAGAGTCCGGCTCGGGTTGGTGCACGGGTTCGACCTCCGACGAGCTCGCAGACGCGATTGACGAAGACTTGTCTTCGTTCGGGTCTTCGTCCTGGGCGTTCATCGCATCGGGCGAGGATGCGGGTGCGGGTGGAGATGGCGATGCTGGGACGTATTCCCGCAGCGATTTAGCAAGGTCCTCCAGATCTACATCGTCAGCCGAGCCCCATTCATCCGGCTGTGGTTCGTGCTGAGGGACATCTCCGCCATCACCGTCGCCTCCCTCCATCTCGAAGTCGCTATCCCCAGACGGCACACGTCCAGCAGACGCCGGGGTCTTCGCAGGAGCCTCGCTCGTCGAACCAGGTGCAGACACAGGTTTCGAACCTGCCGCGGTCGCCGACCCAGAGCCAGACGCAGTCGCCGACGACGCCGACGAAGTCGAAGACGCAGCCTTCAGCCCGCCCGCTGCCCTGGCCGGGACCATACTCTCCGCATACAGCGACCCGCGGACCTGCAGCAGCGGGCACGGGCGCAGCTGCACCTCTTCTTGCGCGTTCGCGTTCGCTGTCGCCTTCTCCGTTCCTTTTTCCTTCTCCTTCTCCCCATACAGCAACCTAGCAGCCTCCTCGTCCTGTACGGGCGCCCAGCGAGGAACAAACGAGCTTGATGTCGTCGTATGGGCTGATATTGCTGGGGCTGGAGCGCGAGCGCGAGCTGGTGAGAGAGGATCAGGAGACGATGGTGTCGATGCTGATGCAAACGCAGGAGCGGGAGCAGAGATCCTTGCTGGGGCAGAGGCAGGAGCAGGCGCAGAAGCAGCTGTAGTGGCCGAGGCAGCACTGACGCGCATGCCATCCCCAATAGCAGTAACAGGAGACGACTCCCGCTCGGGCTCAGACACAAGCTGGGGAACATTATCGTCCACGTCTGCGAGTGTAGGTTAGCATACAACCTCAAGAAAAGTACTATTCGGTGCAATATACGTACCTGGAACGGCCTGCGCATCGTCCTCTTCTTCCTCTTCTTCCTCCATGCGCACATCCTCCTCCCTCTCCTTGCCCTTGCCCGTCGCAGATGAAGCATCACTCTCACGCGCACGCGCATGCCCCTGCATCTCCTCCAAAAACTCCTGCGCAATCGCAATCGCGTCTGCATCGTCGTCTTCCTCCCCTCCTCCTTCTCTACCTCGACTTCCGCCTTCACCTCCATCTCCGCCACCCACCGCGCCTCCGTCCTCGTCCTCGTCTCCTCCAAACAGATCGAGCCCCAAGGCAAACTCAAAGTCAGCGTCTTCCGCAGGCGCGACGTCCACATCGAGCGACCGCTCGACGTCGCCCCTTTCTCTATCCTCGTTATCATGATCCTCGTCCTCATCGCTATCGTCGATAGTAATAACCTCCGCCCCAGGTGGCGGCGCTGCCTTTGTCTTCGCTTGTGAACTTGCACTAGAGGTTGCAGTAGAGGCAGGAACTCTGACTCCACCCACACTCGCGCGCTTCACTCCAGCCGCCGCCCTCGGCCCAGACCCACCCGATACACGCGCCCCACCAATCGTCACGCGCCTCCTGGGGGGCACAACAGCCGGCGGCGGCATCTGCACCGCCGACGCGCTCGGTCCTTGTCCTTGCGCCTGTCCATGCGCTTGCGATGGTGTAGCCGCCACGTCCTCGTCGCTGTCCAAAATCTCAATCATCTCCTGGCCCGCTTCGTTCGTCGACGTGCGGAAGGACGACGACGGCGCTGACACGGGCTGCGTCGGCGCCAGACCGGGGCGGCGCTTGGTGCGCACGATGGAGGGTCCGTCGGTGTCGTCTGAGGCAGAGGCGGAGGTGGAGGAGAGGGTGATGTCGAATGCGCGGTGCGATGACGATGGGTGGGTGAGAGAGGGGGAGGGATTTGGGTAGCCTGCGATGGATTTGCGGAGGGCTGGTGTGGTGTGGGTTGGTGATGTGTATGTAGTATGGGACGGGGCAGACGAAAGAAAAAGAGTGGATTGGTGAGTAAAGTACATCAACAGAGCAAGATATACGCGCGCACCTTTCTTCTTCGGGTGGTTCGGCCTCAGCGGATCGTCGATATCTGCCAACCCAAGAAAAAGCGCGTCAGCTCGCCTGCGCACACTAATTCAAGCGCATACACGCAAACGAAAAACGACTCACATGCGCTCGGCTTATTCGCGCCCGTCAACAACGACTGCGTCGACACGCGCCTGTCCTTCCCCCCGAGCGCGCCAAACGGGCGCGGCGCGACGCCGCCCGTGGACTTGCGCGCGACCTGGACCCTGTTCTTCTTCCTCCCGCGGACCGCGGTCTGCCCAGGGAACCCGCCGTTTCTGCGCTGCTTGGACGGGCTCGGGCCCATGGTGCGCGCGACCTGGGTGAGGGACGTGGTCATGTCGAGCGAGGACGAGGTGTTTCCGCCCGTGTCTGTGTCCGTGTCTAGGGCACGCGGTACCGCGTCAGAACACGATGAGATGAAAGGGAGAGGGGGAAGGCGCACCGCGCGCGTGATCCCGTGCACCTGTGCGCGCGACCTTGTTGGGCTTGTCGGGGCGCGCAGATGAGGAGGCGGACGGGGCGGGGGCCTTGCGCTTGCCTGCTGCGACTGCGGACATGCCCTTTGGGGGAGACTCGGGCTGGGAGTTGGGGGCGACTGTGGAGCGGAGCTCGTCGATTTCGTGGTCGAGGTCCATGGACTCGGGAAAGGAGAGGGCGGTGGGGGACCTTGATGAGCGATCTGCGGGGCGTCAGTAGGAGAGAGAGACGGTTAGGGGAGTGGCGGACCTTGGAGGGTGGTCCAGCCTGGACCCGGTGATGGTTCGACGAGGCGACGACTGTCCATGCACTGTGACGCGTGATGCAGATCAGATCAGCGTCCGAGACGCGTATCAGGGTGTGGAATGCTGTGGGTTGCAGGTTGTCACTAATTTTGTTGTTAGCGTCTAATGCAGAGAATGTAGAGCGGGACGACAGATGGGACGCGTGTGCACTTCATTAGGGTTAGGGTTTACTCATAACGACAATCTAGCCTCTTGGGAATCCCATCCCCGTCTCCGTCTGCCCCGTTCACACCGTCGTCCCCTCCCTCCCCTTCCCCTCCTTAGATCCCCCAAAAGATGGATTCAGACCGCAAATCCACCGTCTCCTCTTTCTACGGCCGCTCCTCCTACGACGCCCTCAACGCCGCCCCGCCCCACGAGCCCTACCGCGACCACCCCTCCTCGCCCCAGCTCTCCTCCCACTCCCAATCCCAATACCGCGGCGCACCTCAAAACCCGTTCGAGGGCCCCGCAGCGCGACCCAGAGCCGAGTCCACCAGCTCATTTTACGCTGCCAACGCCAATGCCGCCGCACAAGGCTATGGACAGGAACAAGGCGGCGCAGGAATGGTGCCCCCGCGCCCGCCGTACGCCTCCGCAGGGTACAACCGCAACTCCTTCTTCAACGCCGGCCGCACAGAGCCCCTCAAAGGCGGCATAGATGAGCGTGACGCCGAGGACAACCTCCCCCTCGGCGCCTCGCGCCCCTCGTCGCGCGTCATGTCTGGCTACGGTCCTCCGCCGGGTGCTGCGACGGGCCAGGCCCCCGGTGGATCGAGAGGAGGCGGTGCGGGCGGGGGGACGGACAGCGAGCCGAATACCCCGGCGTGGGATGTCTACGCCGACTTTAACAACGCAGGACCGCGCTACAGCTCTGCGTTCGGAATCGGGAAGCACGAGCCAGAGTGCGTTTTCCGCTCTTACTTTTCTTCTACATCTCATCAACTTCCCTCCACAGATACCAACCCCTAACCTCCCCCTCGGAGCACGACCACCCCTCCATCCGTTCCGGCCCCACCACCGCCTCCAACCCCGCCGGCTCCGGCGCAGGCTCGGGCTCCGTCAAACAGGCAGTGACGTACAACGAGCACGGCGACCCCGTCGAGCTCGTCACCGTGCCCGCCCTCGGCCCCGAGTGGCAGCGCTCCGAGCTCAAGGACATGACGCGCGCGGGCAAGCGCGAGAAGGCGAACGACCGCCGGCGGGACACGTGGAAGGCCTGGAACCGCGGCGAGACGGGTCTCTGCGGTCGGTGGTTCACCAAGCGCGCGCTCGCCGTGTTTGTGTTCATCGTCTGCTGCATGTGCGTTCGAAGCTTCGCCAGCACGCCGAGCGTACGCTGACCCCGATTCCTCGTTTTCCTCGCCCGCAGAATCGGCATCGTCCTCGCAATCACCGTCCCGCGCGTGCCCTCCGTCTCCCCCCTCTCCACCTTCCTCAGCCAACAATCCGGCTCGTGGAACGACTCCATCCCGACCGCCTTCTCCCGCGCCCCCGCCAACTTCTCCTTCCCCGCGTACGCCGGGCTCCAAATATCCACCTCCGCCAACGTCATCCCGCTCACCTTCTCCTCGTTATCAGTCCAAGTCTGGGACGGCACGACCAACATGCAAATCGGCACCGGCGCCTACGGGCACCTAACGATCCCGGCAAAGGCGTTTTACCAGCTGCAGCTCCCGCTCAATATCAGCTATGTCGCGGGCAACGATACGGATCCGACGTGGGTGGATTGGTATAGCGCGTGCAAGAATCCGGCGCTGTATCCGAGTGGGCAGAGCAGGCCGGGGGTGAATGTGTTGTTGTATATTGATATGGCGATTAGGGGGCTGCCGGGGACGTATAAGGCCACGGCGCAGGTCGCGGATGCGGGGTGTCCGTTTGAGTTGCCGACGAGTGCTGCGTAGGTGTGGTTGGGCAGGATACCCTGGGTGGGTGGATTCGGGAGGGGTGGACGTGGCCGTGTGTTCTTCGGTACGTTGTGGCGGGCTTCATGTATCCGCTTCTCGCATCTACGTTCGGCGACAGTGACTCGAGGGACGGTCCCTCTACCTGCCACCTTACTGCGATCCGCGGAGGCGGATATGGCAGCGGACGTGGACATAGACGTGGACATTTCCCTCTTCTCACTCCCCCCCCTTTTTTCGCGTGACATTTTCATATTTCATCGTATCTCAGTGCTCCAGGATGGACGGACTCTTATAGTTGTTTCATGAACCCTTCTACTACGTATCGTTTACGCATATACATACGCATACGCATACATACAGCAGCTCTCTGAGGAGAGTCGCGAGTCGCTCGTTTTAATCGTAATCTATTCCCCCCTTCGTTTGGATTCTATCGCGGACGGGACTGGTTTCACGTTGGACCTGCACGATCATGCACATGATCAAGTAACTTAGGCATGGGTGTATGTTTGGACATCACTAAATGGGCGGACCGAATATAAGTACATGAGCAGTAGTAGAATCCGTTATAACTAACACCGTACCTTAATGATATTTCGAATCTCCAGCACGAGTGGAGCGTAAAGTCCGTTTTTAACATATGGGAAATCAGACCAAAATCAGACGGTGAAATGGTCAGATCAGGGATGATATTATAATATTGATGGCTATCTTACCGCTGACGGAGCCTGCATGATAATTACACGATAAGATTGGCTGGTGATTTATGCCGTATGATAAAAACTCAGACCATATGTTGAGGACTCGCAATCTTGCCCATGATTCCAATGACAAGACATTCATTGTGAATATTATATAGTACATGATGCAGCATTATTCGAGGTTAAAACGACTAACAAAGTTATTACACGACACGAGAGCAGCAGCAGTAGACGAGTGCAGGAAATCCGACAAAATAATTAAGAGCTTACAGACCG